CGGTTGCCTCACCCTCGGGGATTGAGAGTGTGCCTTCCATAGCTGTTGTCGCACAGTGCCGGCTAAGCCACCGCAGGCTCCCCTCTGCCCGCTCCTCGCCTCCTTCCCAGGCCCACGCAGGCTGCGGTGCTGGGGATCCCGGCAGACAGGTAAGTAGAGCTTCCTGGAGAGACATTAGTGAGTTAAGAGTCTCCTCAGTGGGAGCAGACAAGGCCCTCTTTCAGGACCTGGTGGCTGGCAAAGGTGTGTGGGTGAGTGTCTGTCTTTCCCTTTCCCCTTCCCTGTTGTCGTGATGAAGCAACTCACCAATGTGCCCACACAGAACAGGGCTGAGGTTCTCTGCCGACCTGGGCCTGCCTGTTGCTCATGCATAAGAGCTCCACAGGTGGGAAAAGAACCGGGAGCCAACCCTCAAGCACACTTGCATTTAGTTCATTAGATGTTTACTGAACATGTCCTACGTCTCCAGGCCATCAGCGGCGAAGGCTGTGGCACAGGTCAGGGCGTGGGCTCTGGGGCCGGGCTGCCAGGGCGAGCTTCCTGGCTTGGCCACTTGGCCACTGTGTGACTTTGGGCAGGTTACGGTACCTTTCTGAATGTTCCGTAACTTTCCTTATTGGTAAAACGGGGACACTAATAGTACCTGTCTCAGGGGGGTGTTGAAGCTGTGCAGGAGGCTGGCGGGTAGGTGCTGGCACAGTGCTGGGCACTCGTAAGTGGCCGCAATGTGATGGAGGAGGATGTGACTCGAACTAACTTGCCACCAGCAACTCAAAGACAGGCGTGCTTGGCTCGGAAGCCTCGAATTTCTGGGCTGCCCCCCAAGGAGTCTTTTACACGCTTTTTCCTGATAATAAACATTTTTAAGTTGAAGTTTTTTACAAACTTTTGTTAAACACATAAGAAGCCTGGTTACAGCGAAGCCTTGATTAACACAGCAGGTTCGAGCACTTTCCATTGGTGGGAGGAGGGCGGCGGTGTCTCCCGTTTGTCCACCTCGATGGGCTCCAACAGGCAGCGGGCAAATCTTCACCAGGCTGGGGGGGGGGTGCAGGGCGGGGCTCCCTAGTCTCCAAAGCGCACCACCGCCATCCTGGGCGCCAGGCCTTGATCTCCTGGTTCCTCACATTTTCTTGAGATGGTGGCAAGGATTAGAGACAGTTGCTGGTACGATGCCAGTAGGCAGGAGTCACCCTTGGGATTCCTAGAAAGGAAGGCATACGTGGGACGCCCGCTGGGAGCATGGCCACTGTGGGCTTGACAGGTGTGTCACGAGCCAGCGGATGAAAAGGAACCACCGCTAAGCCTCTCTTTGAAGCCAGCATTAAAGGTAGTTCCATAGTTTGTTCTTTGAGCCCTTCTTGGGTCTTTAAACGACTCTCAGCCTCCTGAGAAACTGCATCTCGGTATTAATTATATTAATCTGAAACATCTCCCTCACAGAAACAACAGCAGCCCCAGGCAGTTCCCAGGGCTCCGGTAGGCGGGGGCGGAGGAGGGCGGGGCCGGACACTGCTCGGAGAGGCATCTGTACGTGAGTAACACTTCCCAGGAAGGTCCTCGACAGCTCAGTCATTATGTCTGCTTATTTTTTTAGTCCCTTGATGCAATCCTCAAGGGATTTGAGGCCACTTATAATAAGGGCATAGTCAGCAACCTGATGATTTAAAAATAGAGGGACGTTAAGACTCCAAAGCAGGAAAAACCTAGAAAGTATAGGCGGCGGGGGCGGGGGGGCGGGGAGGACAAACATACTCATATATGACCATGAGAATCAAACTAGTGAATGTAGTTAAGGTCAGAGTTAGGATCTGAGCTTCCCAGCAGCCCATGCAAAGAAAGGAATCAGAATTAGCCACCTGGAAGGAAGGCAGCACACCAAATGATTCCCACCACACAGACGCCTTTGTAAAAGGGCATGGAGTGGTCGGTGCCCTCAACCCTGCTGCAGCAGTGAATTAGAGGAGAGATTCCCTGGGGTTGCGCCTCTGCTTGCTCTTCTGCAGAATGCGAGTGGTGCTTACCTCCCTGGGCTGTCTGAGAGCTAGACCAGCACCCGGCAGACAGTAGGCACCCAGCAAGTGCTCGTTTCTCACTGTCTGTCCTCCCCCATCTCCCGGCATTAGTGCCTGGTACACTGTTCCCAAGACAGCTTTGTAATCCTCACACCTATTTTATTTTATTTTTTAAGATTTCATTTATTTATTCTTAGAGGGGTAGGGAGAGAGAAAGAGAGGGAGAGAAACATCAAGGTGTGGTTGCCTCTTATGTGTCCACCTCTGGGGACCTGGCCTATAACCCAGGCATGTGCCCTGGCGGGGAATCAAACCAGCAGCCCTTTGGTTCACAGACTGATGCTCCATCCACTGAGCCACGCTAGCCAGGGCCTCTCACCTATTTTATATGGAAACAATTACTCTGCTTCTGTGTCCAGCTCGGCAGCAGAGTCTGGGGATACAGCAGTGACTGAGCAGATGTGGGCCCTGACTTCAGGGAGCTCACAGATCAGTCGAGAAGCAAGGCTGGCAAACCAACAAGGCATCATAGCGCAGTAAGTACAATGATAAGGGCATAATTATAACTATAATAGCTTCCATTTTTTTGCTCCCTAATCTGAGTTAGGTGCTGTACTTGTCAAGAGCAGCATAAGAAAGAAACCTACAGACACAGTGATGAGCCTGTAAATTAAGCAAAAATCTTAGCAAACTAAATTCAGAAAGGATACAATACCAGATTACACATTACCAGATCAAATTAAATAGATCCCAGGAATGCAAGTTTTACCTTAGAAAGTCAGTTCAATAGATTACTAGATCAAAGAAAAAATTTACTCAATAAGTCAGAAAAAAAAAGTTGATAAAATGTCCATTGATGACTTTAAAATAAAACTTAAGCTAAGACTAGAAAGGACCTCTTTGAACCTGATAAAGAATATCTACAATAGTGGTTCTCAAAGGGTGGACGCTGGACAGCAGCATCCGCATCGCCAGGGAACTTGTCTGAGATGAAGCCCCTCAGGCCACGCCCAGATTGACTGAATCAGAAACTGGGGTTTGGGGAGCTGCAGGGGGCAGCGGCCTCCAGGCGCTGCTGGTGCTGCTAGAGTCTACGAACCTCCGATCCACAAGAAACCCCCATCACAAACGTCCTGACTGATGGAATGTGGAAACTACCCTCCTGGGATCAGAACAAGACGCGAGTGCCCACTGCCATCACATCCATTGACCAGGAAGTCCATGGGGTGCAGCGAGGCAAGAAAAAGCAATAAATGATGTAAGGATTGGATAGGCATGGCTATACACGTAGGCAATCCAAAAGAATCTCCCATCTATAAGAATTAATACGATGGCTTAGCAAGGCTATCGTTATCAAACCAATATACAAAAACCCATTGCATTTCTGCATACCAACAGCAATTAGAAAATGAAAAAGTGTAAATATGCCACTTAGTGCAGTTATAAAAAAGTAAATAAAAACAAAGAGCAAGCCTAACAAAAGATGGACAAAACCTTTACGGAGTATACTATACAACTCTGCTGGAAACGTTCGAGAACCTCTAAACTAAGAGAGAGAGAGACCACGTTCATAGCTTGAAAGCTCAATACTGGGAAGATGTCAATTCTCCTATGAATTAATACAAACGCAATTAGAATTGCTATAGGGTGTGTGTGTGTGTGTGTGTGTGTGTGTGTGTGTGTGTGTAGAACTTGTGAGTTGATTTTAGATTTTTATACAGAAGAGTTAAGAGCCAAGAACCACTAAGTCACTCTTTAAGATGAAAACGTGAGCTAACTTGCTCTACCAGATATTAAGACTTATTAGAAGACAATGAAGAACTTGAGCAGAGGTAGACGAATAGACCAGTTTCGCAGACCAGAGGACCAGTTCCTTTATTGAATAGTTGGAGTTTAGAAACCTATAAACTGCTGTCACCACTTCCATGGATTATTTTCTCTCAGAGGCTTATCTTTTTTACTCTCTGAATCTGTCTTTTAATAAATAGAAGTTCTCAATTTTGGTTTAAAGCTTATCATCCCTTTCCTTTATCTTTTTCATTCTTTGTGGGCCTGGCAAGAGGTGGGCCACCGCGCGCAGGCAACATTGGCTTCCTGCCCTGCCGCACACTAGCGGTGGCACCTTGGGCAAGTTGGCCTTCTCCACTGAGCCTCTATGTTCCCTTCTATAAAACGGGTAGTAATAATACGCTCCCATATGCCTCGTATTATGGGAAGAAGTAGATGTTATAAAATCGGAGAAGTGCGTGCCACGTGGCAGGCAGCTCATACGTCTCATAACTTGGAGGGGGATGACTCTGGTTCAAATGCTGGCTCCCCTGCTTTCTAGCTGTTTCTGAGCCTGTTTCTTCTTTGGTAAAATGGGAATAATAATGGTACTGACGTTGGAGATCTGCTGCGAGAAAGAAATGAGGGAATGGTAACTGCACCTACCTCACAGGCTGTCTTAGTGAGTTATTCCATGTGAGGCACAGGGAAAGGTGCCCAGAACACAGGAAACACCCATGTGGTGACCCAGCCTGGGGAGACGTGTCCCAAGCCAGGCCAGTCTTGGCATGTATAGCCCGGGCCATGACTTCGTGCCTAAGATCTCAAAACCTCCCTATGTTTCACACCTTGCCTTCTCTGAAAGCCCTGTTTGGCAAAGTCAGGCAAGGTTGGCTGGATGCAGGTGTTCATGGCCCCAGGCTGGGATGGGGCTCTGAGCATGAGGGCCCAGGCCTGCAGTCCCGCCCCCAGGCCAGCTGAGCCCTCCGCCCTTCTTGGGAAACTGACAGAGCCAGCCTGCCACCTGTTCTGGCATCAACACCCATGGGGTCAGTGGCAGATCTGGGGCAGAGAAGGGGCTGAGAGCCTTGGACTTCAGTGGGGAGGGGCTAAGCCACTGAGCCACAGACCACAGGTGCTGACTCATGGCCTCAGCTGGGCAGTATAAAGGAACCAGGCTGGGGCTTCCTGCAGCTGCAGGGACGAGCTGGTCGAACTATGGCCCAGGGGAGAATGATCCATGTGGCCTCAGAGCAGCCCACCTATGCTGTCTGTGTGCTGGGCACCGAGACTCAGCTAGATGTCTACAGGTGAGCAGGGAGCACCCTGGGGGTGGGGAGCAGGTCCAGCGATCCTGAATGAACAGCTTCTGCCAACACAGGATGTATGGCTGCCTCAGGCCTCAGGCTGCAGCCTTGGTAGCCGCCACCACCGGGGGATGAGCTGGAGAGGGGAGACCTGAATGGCCTGGGATGTGCTGACTGGGGGCAGTGGGTTCTTTGCCGTGTACAAGAGGGAGTTCCCTGGGGCCTCACCACAGACGAAGTATTACCACTGAGGCCACGGGAGCTCAGAGAGGGCCGGTGACTTGCCTGAGATCGCAGAGCAAGCGTGCCCTGGAAGCAAGGCTAGACCCTGGACTTCCTGACCCATACCTGGCTCCTGGTGCAGTTAGTCATGCCCCACCCCTCAGCCAAGCCTCCCTCCATGGGTGTGACAGCACAGGTGTGAGGAGAGGCTGTGACGTGGGAAGGGCTGTGGTGAGAGACCTGGCCTCCTGTGGGCCAGCGGGTGGCCTTGGGCAACTGGGCTTCAACTCTCTTCCTCAAACACGGCTGGGTGGGCACCCCGCCTCAGCAGCTCAGCCAGCTTGACCTGTCCTCCAGCACACGCGTGCCTCTTCACCTTTGCTCAGGCTGTGCCTTCTGTCATCGTGCTTGGAGCCCCAAGGGAGAGACAGACACAGAGCAGGGGACAGGCCATACAGGGGCGGGCGCCTGTTCCAGAGCTGCGATTACAACTCTGCTAGTGCATTTCATTCTCTATTTGGAAAATAATTCCCCCGGACCAGGAGCTACATTGGTTATATTCAAACAAAAGCCCACTGGTCTGAGATGAATATGGAAACCCGTCGAGGGCTCTCTGTGACGCTGTGGCTGGGGTCAGGGCAGGGCCATGTGCCAGGCCCCTTATCACGATTCCTAATCCTCACAGAAACCATGTGAACTCAACACCATCATCGTGCCCATGTTAGAGACGAGCAGTCTGAGACTTCCAGAAGTAAAAGCATCTACCCAAGGTCACACAAATTAAAGGTGGCAAAGCCAGGGGATTGGCACCCAGGACGGTCTGATTCTCAACTCACCTGCCTGCCCAGCACACACTGCTTCTGGGTGCTGCAGGGCTGGCCTCGCTGGGCATGGCAACCTGCTTGGTGGAGTTCGTGCAGCTTCCACAAGGCTTGGGAAAGGCCCAGAGCTGGTGCGGGGGGCGTCCAGAGGGGGCCACCACAGAAGATGGTGGGTGTTCCAAAGCTGCCAGCACTAGGCTTCTCCTCTTCCTCCAAGGGTCTCCTTCTCAGTAGGACACAGCTCACTGACCGTGAGGAGCATGAACAAGCCTTTTAGTGCTTCTGAGCCTCAGTTTACCCATCGACAGAATGGGAAAATCAACAGCCACCCGGCTGGATTGTGGCAAGGATTAAATTATAAAATGCAGGCCAAGTGTCCTGCAGAGCGGACCCCCTTCCCTGGGAGGGTTGCATGTGCCCCTGAACGTGACAGTGTCGCAGACCCACTGGTAGTCGTGGGTAAGGAAATGTTGGGTGCAGGAGCTGGAAAAATGAGGTCACTTGTGTGGGGCACAGGTTCTCAGTGTTCCCTCTACAGAGGCTATTGGAAGTTACAAGAAGAGGCAGTTCTGTGGCCCTGGTTGTGTGGCTCAGTTGGTTGGAGCACTGTTCTGCACACCAAAATGTTACAGGTTCGATCCCTGATCGGGGTGCACACGAGAGGCAACCAATTGATGTTTCTCTCTCACATCGATCTTTTTCTCCCTCTTATCCTCTCTCTCTAAAATCAATAAACATATTCTTGAGTGAGGTTTAAAAAAACAATTTGTCAGGTATGCAATTCCAAGCTAATAGTTATTTTTTCAATATGCTTTGAAAGTATTATTCAATTGTCTGCTGGATTTCATTGTTGCTATTGGGAAGATTGCTTTTAGTCTTGATTGTCATTCCTTTGAGGGTGATCTGACTTTTCCTTCTGGATACCTTTAAGTTCTTCTCTTTGTCTTTGGTGTTCTTCAGTTTAACTACTGTGTGTGTACGTGTGTGCGTGAGCGAGCGTGCACATGAAGAGAAGGACGTCCTTAGAGATTTTTCTTCCTTCTCATGGTCCTAGCAATGTTTTAAAAAATATATATATACCGTGGCTGGAGTGGCTCAGGTGGTTGGGTGTTGTCCTGCAAACCAGGAGCTCACGTGTTTGATTCCCAGTTGGGGTACACGCCTGGGTTGTGGGTTTAGTCCCTGGTCAGGGTATGTGTGGGAGGCAACCGACTGAGATTTCTCTCTTACATTGATGTTCCTCTCGCTCTCTTTCCCACCCTTCTCCCTCTAAAATCAATAAGCATGTTCTTAGGTGAGGATAAAAAATAGTGTATATATATATATTCTTTTTATTGAATTTATTGGAGTAACACTGGTTAACAAAATTATACAGGTGCACAATTCTACAACACATCATCTGTACACTGTGCTGTGTGTTCACAAGCCCAGGTCAGGTCTCCTTCCCTCACCGTTTATCCCCCCCCCGTACCCTCTTCCTCCCCCTTCCACCCCCTCCCCACAGTCACCACGCTGCTGTCCTTGGCCATTCGTTTTTTTCTCTCTTCTTTTTCCCTCAATCCCTCCACTCCCCCACTCCCCCACCCCGCAGCTGTCAGCCTGCACTATCTATCTATATTTTAACCAAAACAGACCCAGCTGTTTTGTACGAGACGGTCCTTCAGGGTACGGGGCTGCCATAGCTCCCGCAGCAGGAGTCTGTGTGATTCTTTGCAGAGGCACAACCCTGTGTGTGCGTGTGTGTTTGTGGACAGTAGACTTCTGGGAGTGCACATTGCTGTATGCACACGTTGTGTGTATGTCTTTTGTGTGCGCATCTCTCTGCAAGTTTCCTAGTTCTGGTGCAAGTCCTCTAGGTCAGGGGACTATTTTCCGGTTTCTCACAACCTCCTGACAACCGCTCATGGTCAGGGTCAGACTGGCTGCTGTCTGGCAGTGACACTTTGTGGGGAAGGAAGAATGTTAGGAGAGCAGTGGTGGGCCAGGCCCTGCCTCATCTCTCTCTGTCCTCCCCATCTCTGTCTTCCAGCTCTGCCCCCACGGACTGCACGACCTTCAGCGTCAGAACCTCCCCAGGAGTGGTTGTGGACGTTGCCCCCAGCCCGCCAGCCAAGAGGAAACCCACGGGTTCCTCCAAGTGGCCCCTGGCCCCCGGGCTGGAGGTGAGCCTGAGGATGACAGCCGCCAGCAGTAGCACAGGCGACCAGAAGGTGAGCGTGGCAGCTGTGGGAAGAGTGGGGGGCTGTGTGGGAGGAGGTCAGCGGGTCTCCGCAGGTCAGCCCCCCACAGTCCGCCCCGCGCCGACGCAGAGCCCTGACCCCAGCAGGGCCTCCACCTCTCTGAGGAAGCTCATGATGGCTCGTTCCAGCCAGAGTGTCCCCGCAGACAGCACAGGGGGGCCAAGGGGTTGTTGAGGCCAGGGTTTCGGTGCAATGTATCTAGTCAGCAAATGTTTGATAATCACCTACTATATGCCGAACATTGCCAGGCACTAGAGGTGCAGAAATAAACAAGACAGGTGAGGCTGCAGCCTTTAGGGAGCTCAGAACCCATGGGTGAAGGCATTGGGTACTATGCAGGTAAGCGATTATAGACGTGGTGCTATGAAGCCCTCAGCCAGACAGCCCCGGGAATCTCTGGTCCATGAGCGCGTGTTTAGTTTCCTGTGGCTGCTATAATAAATGGCCGGACCTATTGGCTTAGAACAACACAATCACATTCTCTGGCCAGAAGTCTGAAATCAAAGTGGGGGCAGGGCCGCGTGCCCTCCAGAGATCTCAGGGAGAAGCAGTTCTTTGCCTTTTCCAGCATCTGGAGGCTGTTGCATTCCTAGACTAGGGGCCTCATCCCTCCGATCTTGACCTTCACCGTCACACTGCCTCCTGCTCTGTTGGTCCGTACCCTGTGCCTCGCTCTCGTCATTGCATTCAAGTCCTGCCTCCAGGATCCAGGATGATCTCATCTCAAGATCCTTACTGACATCGGCAAGAATCTTTTTTCCAAATAAGGTCACACTTATAGGTTCCCGAGATTAGGAGGTGGACATATCTTTTGGGGCACCACCACTTACCGCTGCACCCTCATTGGCTGTAGATGGGCTCAACAGGACCCTCTGGGGGTTCCATGGAGAACTGGGCCAATGACCCCTTCTTCCTACCAGGACCGGCCAAGCAGGCTGCCGCCCAGGGCAGAGAGTTGTTGCCTGCTGTAGCAGCGCGGAGCTTGGGTATCAAAGCAAGTTGGGGACGGTGCAATCAGAGAAAGCTTCCTGGGAGAAGTGGCAAGTTGAAGCATGGTATGAATGACCCACCCAAGAGAGGGAAAGGAGAATGTGAGCTCTGCATAAGGGATGGGATGTGGGTGCTCACTCTGGATGAGAATAGGGTGAGACACATGTTGCTGACACTGGGGAAGATCTGTATGGCAAGAAAGGAGAGTGGAGAGGGAGGTGGGTGGGGGAGAAAGCCAGTATTAATGGGCTTGGCATCAGGGACCTCATTTTGTGAAGGCAACAAGAAGCCAATGAAAACATTTCGTCCAGGGAGTAACAAGACTGCACCTGTGTGTTAGAACAACCCCGCTGGCTGCAGTGTAGGGAGTAGATTGGGCCCAGGCAGTAGACCAGAGGCTGAAGCTGTGGTCCAGACACAAGGTGACGGGGGCCGTGACAGTTCTCTGGATCCCTACTATCTACAGGGCCGATCCAAACATCTCAGTAGGTCCCCTCAGGAGCCCCTGGTCTTCCTATGGCAGCTCCTTGGATTTGCTTTGGGGAACTCCTCCCTGCCATTCCACTTAGAAGTGTCAATCCTGATGTTCCGCCCTCCTGTGGCCAGGCTGGGCCAATCACATGCATCCTTTCTGGATTTTGAACTTTGAGCAATGGGGGTTGGTGTTTCTTACTCAGGAGAGCACCTGCCCTGAAGGGACCTCCACCCATCCAAAGCTCCTGCTCCCCAGATCCAGGGTCTGCTTGCCTCTTCTGCTTGCCAAGCCTTCTACTGCCTCTTCCACCACGTCCCCAGCTGCTCCTCTTATAAGATCTACCTCAATGTATAGCTCCCTGTCACACCTAGGTGGTGTAAGCCCCCCATTTCTGGGCTCCCATAGGACTCTCGTCTATGCATTACAGCCATTTGAGTGTTTTGCTACCTCTCTGCTTCTACCAGTTGGGGTGCTCCTTAGAGGCTGAGACTTCTTGCCCATACCTTGTCTCCTCAACATCCAGTCTTGATCTGGCACAGAGCAGGGGGCCAGTCAGTGTTTGTTGAATGACTAAGAGAAGTGATCAGTGGTTTGTCCTATAGGTTCAGATTTCATACTACGGACCCAAGGCCGACCCAGTCCAAGCCCTGCTCTATGTCACCGGGGTGGGTAAGTGACCAGGGTCCTGGAGCCCCGCCCCTTACCCCCTCCACACACAGCTTTTCTCCGGGAGAAACTGCACTCTGGAGCTTACTGTAGACTGAGCAGAGAAAAAGGACAATTTCTGGCCAGTCCTACATCTGGTAGTTAGTTCACAGGTGGTCCCTCTCTAGTCAGTGAACCACACAGAAATACAGCTGGGAGAGCGGGTATTGCAGGGACCTTCAATTTCATCTTAATATTTTGTTTCTTGACTTAGGAAGTGGTACATGGATTTTCAGTACATGAGCCTCTTTATCTTTTTGACCAACTACTCATAAGAAAAAAGTAGACGATGACACTGTCTTATGCAATAATATAGACCAGTGTTCCCCAAATTCCATTATTTATATCCCAGCGTCGCCATTTTTGGCCTATCGGTGATGTACCTAGACTCCTATTTATTCAATAGTCTTCTTTAAAAAAGGTATATTTTTAACTTGACCTCGTCTTGAACCGTAATATAATGACATTATTATTATTTAAATGTACATTACAAATATGAACTGCATGTGAAAGCTTCCAGTTTCATTTTGTTAAAGAATTCCATTCATTAATACACATTTAGTTCATCAATACATATTTTAATAATGATAACAATAATAATATAGCACTAACTCTCTACCAGGCACTGTGCTAAGAGTTGACTTGTAAACCACATAACAATCCAATGAAATTGGTACTATCATCCCATTTTACAGCTGAGAAAACTGAGGCACAAGAGGTAAACAGACCTGCCCACGGTCATTCAGATGGTTAGTGAAGGAGCAGGGAAGTCCTGGCCACTCGGCATGAAATGCCCAGGCCTAACCGGTGGCTGTGGCTATGGTTCAAAGGGCGGCTGGGCCAACCTCACCCTGTGAGCTCCCAAGGTCTCTAGATCACGGCTCTCTGTCACTGGAATGACGGTGCAGTCATGTTTCTGATGAGCGAGGCAGAATTTGGAAACAAACATATGCTTCCTCAGCCATGCCACTTGGACGGAGGGGTATGTTGGGGGCCATGATTTGCTCCCAGGGCGGTCACGTTACACGTCACAAAGTGCCAAATGGGGTTGAGGTAACCACTGCACCTTCCACCCCAAGGTTGCTGGGGGCTGGAGCTGGGGCCAGAGGCCTTTGAGAGCCTGGCAAGGAATCCTTGCAGGGGCTTCACATCGGACCTCTTCTTGGGCTGTGGCGTGGCTGGGAATTCTTCCTGAAATCCCTGAAGGTGGCCCAACGCGCAGGGCTCGGCTGGCATCGCAGCTGTGGTGTGGCCCCCAAAGGAGAAGAGCTGTGGCCAGAAGCCCCAGCTCCGCTGTCTGAATTGCAGTCAGACTTCGTAGGCCAGGGGCATAGGGTGTCTTCAAACCTGTGTGTCCTCCAAAGGGGAGAAAGAGGGGACTTGGTGTACACAGTATCTTGGGGAAAGGACTGTCCTTTGGGAACAGGTTGAGTGACCCCACCCTGTACTCTTACTGATCCTTTCCTCCTGGTGGGATTTCAGAAATCTCCTTGAGCGCGGACATCACCCGCACTGGCAAAGCAACGCTGACCAAAGCCAGGAAGAACCAGGTACGCTCAACCGCTCAACCGTGACCAGCACCTGGAATGTTCCCTGTTAACTCCGCTGGACTATGCTGTGGCACCCCCTAGTGGTGATTGGATGAATGGCGGCCTGTCTTACACATCCTTGTTAACTGGAAGACACAATTGAGGAAGAACAAGAAACAAAAGGGAGTTAAAATCACCGTTACCATTCTGGTTTCTGCATTTCCCACCTCTTTTACAAAACTAGCTTTTCACTGGTTGTGAGTTCAGAGAGTGTATTGCCCTACAAACTGGAAACTACAATTGTCCAGTTAATGCACAACAGAGAGAAAATTTGCAGGCAGGTCTCCACCCTGGCACAAAAGTCCCCTACGCCGAGCTTTCATGGCTAGTGGGAGAGATTCCCAAGACGTTGCTCATGTTGAATAATAGAAAAAGTGGCAGAGGGTGGGGGACAAAAGGGGGGCAAGGAATGCACGTTACAGAAACAGAGTCTATGGGGGTCTATGGGTGATGAGTAGGCTGAACTGGGGTCCTCTGTTAAACCTCAGGGTATCCCTGAAGCCTCAAAGCTGCCGGCACCATTTCATGCTGAGGGCACTTTAGGGAGCTGTCAAAGGATTATGAACTGTCAAAGGATTAAATGCCTTTGTTAGGTCTGCCCAAAGTGGGGGAAGAATTCCAGCTCTGGCGGTGGAGTTCATCTTACCTGAGTCCCACCCCAAACGCAGCCATTCCCCGAGGGCCGACGCTCCCCCACCGACAGAGGACTCATCACTAGTAGGAGGGGCTGCTTAATTTGCTTTAATATTCAGACAGACAGAACTGGCTGCTAAGAATAGTACTCGTACTTGGGTGAGTAATTAAGAGTTCACATAAGAGGAACTATTTAGATTAGAATCTTGGCACAAATACTTAGCTCAGTTTGGTGTGCCAGTCCAACCCTTTTTAAAAACAATTTCAAAAATAGCTTTGTTGAAAATCTATTTCATTGTCACGGGCTTCTTGTTTTAAGGGGATCAATCGCTTTTTTGGTGGATTTGCTTGTGACTTTCAGGGCAGGCAAAAATCCACTCTTGGGGACCAAAGAATTATAAGATGCACAAATTGTCTGAAACTACTGAGAGGCTGGGAACAGGTGGCTATGCTTCCCTGGGCTGGAAGGGACACATGCAAGCCCTTAAGGGTGCCCCGTCTCTGCTGGGTGTCCACAGAAGCCCTGGACCTGGGGCCCCCGCGGGCAAGGCGCCATCCTGCTGGTGAACTGTGACAAGGACCATCCCAACTCTCTTGCCACGGACTCTGTGGATGACGAGGTGCTTGACAGAGAAGGTAAAGGCCCCCAAGAGCTATGGGAATAGAGCTTCATCTTTTTATAAAGGCTTTTGTCCTGAGCCTTGTAACTGCCCTCAGAAACTGTGGTTGTTGGAAGTATGTTCTTGTTAGCACGTCCATTGCACAGGAGAAGGAGTGGACAAGGGTCCTGAGAAGGCAAGTGACCTGACCAAGGACACAAGCAGCCAGAGGAGAATTAGGACCAAGGCCGAGTGAGCCTCCGCGCCTCATCCAGGCCCCCATTGCATGCCCCTGCCTGCCTCCCCACCCGAACTTCCACTCTTGGGTCAAACCTGGGGCCCGAAAAAGCTTGAAATGAAAGTCCGCTTCCCTGAGGCCTGCCATATGCTGGGCACTGCTCTGACCACTTCAGAATTATTAATTCATTTGATCCTTTAACACGAGACTAAGAAGCATGTACTGTCTTCCTCCCCTTTACAGAAGGGGAAACTGAGGTATGGGGAAGCTAAGCAATTTACCTAAGGTCACACAGCTAGTAAGTTGCAGGTTCCGGATTTGAACCTGGGCATCCTGGCACCAGGCCCGGTTCCGGGGCACGTGGATGGTGGCAGGGGGCGGGGCCTCTGCTGACATGCCTCTGAAGTGTGGCCAGGGTGGAAGGCACGTTGCCCACCTGCCTTGAAGGGCATTGAGGGGGTGAGGTTGGCCTGACAGAGGGGCATCTGTGGCCCTCCTGGGTGCTGGTAAGAAAGCACAGAAACAGATGCATGCGGTTGGCCCGGGCTGACGTCAGGGGCAGCCTCGGCCTGGCGTCCGGCACACAGTAACAGCCACACAGCCAGCAGCCTTTGGGGGCTCTCCCGAGACGCCGGGCGCTGCAGCAACCACTCTGCATGGATGACCTCACGCTTCCTCTCGCGTGGGCCCTACTCTTAGCCCTCTTTACTGATGACGAAACAGAGGCACCGAGAGCTGAAATAACTCCCCTAAGCCCTCCCAGATCCAGGGTTCGAATCCCCCTGACCCCAGAGCTCTTACCCCATGACTATTGTCCAGCCCATGACCATTGTCCAGCCTGTGGCTACTGTCCAGCTTGGCTCTACCCACACCTTTGTTGGCCATTATTCTAGTTGGTTCACAAACTTCACTTCCTGCTCAGGCCCAGGGAGAACTTTCCACTTATTCATTTGACAAATGGTATCAAGCACCTGCCGTGTGCTAGTCATTCTTCAAGGTACTTCTACTTTTTCTCGGCTCTAGGAGCTGGGACCAGAGCAGTGAACAAGATAAATAAGGTCCCAGCATTGCCACGCTTACATCTTAAGTTCATTCCAGTGGGAGAAAACCACAAATCTGATTAGTTTTAACTCCAAAATGAAAAACATTATTTAATTACTGGAAAGAGCGTAAAGAAAATAAAAGCAGGCGACATGGTAGAGGGTGGTCTGGTGGCGGGGAGGGCAAGGTCTCAGGGCCTGCGTCTCAGGCCACAACTTCTCATTCCAGACCTGCAGGACATGGCCCTGGTGACTCTGAACACAAAGGCCCCCAAGGACTTCTTCACCAAGCACCAGCTGGTGCTCCACGTGGCCAAGTCCGAGATGAACAAAGTCCGAGTCTTTCAGGCCAATAGTGAGTTGTCCCTGGCCGTGATTTTGATGTTTCCTTTCTGCCCCCAGTGGAGGTACAGCCCCTTCACACTCGCTTTGGGGAATAATTCCTGGGCACCTACTATGTTCCCGGTTCTAGGAACCGAGGATAGAGTAGTGAGCAGGACGGACAATGTCTCTTCCCACCTCCTCCTAGAAAGGACCTACAGGCAAAATGCAGGCAGACTAACAAGATGATACCTGGAGCCGGCGAGCTCTGAGAAGGAAATAACTCGCATCCCAAGAACAGTTGTTATCTGTAATCGCTTTTTGTGTGTCTATCATTATCTCTCTCTCTCTCTCTCTCTCTCTCTCTCTCTCCCCTGACACACACACACACACACACACACGCGCGCGCGCGCACATGCAACTCTGGTTGAAGGAGATTTTTGCATCCACGCTGACGGCCTGCGTTAGGTTGTCGTTTGGTCTCTGACATCCCACTCATTAAAGCCGTCAGGGACTTCTCAGCTGCTCACCAGCACCCTCTGCTAAGCGAGTGCCAGGCTTGGTTCTAGGCGCAAGGTAGAGTGCAAAGACCATAGCAAAGTCCCTGCCCTGGTGTCACTTTTGTCCCAGGGGGCTGGGAGAGATGATGTGTAAAATAATTAAGTAAAACACTTAGGGCACAGATGGCGTTACATGTTATGTGGAAGAATGGGACAGGGAAGCAGGTGTGGGTGAGGGGTGGAGTCGGGGGTAGGGGCAGAGGGTGGCCAGGGATGATGTCCCCCATAAGGTGTCATTTGGGCAGAAGGAAGTGTGGGAACAGCCACACAGACACCCTGGAGAAGGACATTCCGGGCAGAGGGCACTGCGAGTACAAAGGTCCTGAGGCAGGACAGGGCCTGTGGGCCTGAGGGAGGCAGGGGCGCCGCTGCGTCTGGCCTGCAGTGTGCATGGTTTAAGGTGGTAGGTGAGGGTGGGGAGGAAAGGGCAGAGGGGCAGGGCCAGGTCAGGAAGGCATGGAATGACTTTGGCTTCTCGCCTGAGGGAGAGGGGAGAAGCTATCTGAGAGTTTTGTGCAGAAGCATGACTTGATCTCACTTACATTCTAAACATTGGTTTGGCGACAGGAAAACTGCTTTCGTCTGCTGAGGATCACCTCTTCCAGGAAGCCTTCCCTGGCGCTCTGGGCTTCCCTCCCTCATAACACTTATTACCACCTGTGATTTTGACTGTCTTTGCACCTTCCTACTCACCCAAGAGACTGTGCATCACCTGGGGACCAGGACAGTGACTGTCTTCTTGGTCCTCCCAGATGTCAGTTGAGAACAGAGCTCAGGGATGAATCAATGAATGAATGAATGAATGAGCAAACAATGTGTATCAGACTTCCTATCAAGTTGGAAGTGGCTCAGGCACTCCCCTCTCTCCATTCCTGGACCCCCAGGCTGGGTGGGAGGTGGGGTATGTCCCAGGTGAGGCTTCAGTCCCTTTCTCCTAAGAGGAGGCTCCGGCCAGATTAGCAGTGAGGGGCCCTCAGGGGCGACTTGCGGTGGCCCTGAGGAGGCATGACAGGCCCAGGAGAAGACAGGGTCTTCGGGGTTGTCAGGACGGAGACCTGAGCCTCCCCTCCCCTCTCCTAGGGCACAAACAGGCCTCTGGGTACAGGGCGATCCTGGGGCCGCAGCAGCCCTCTCACCCCCTGGAGCTCCCAGGCGGCCAGCACAGCATAGACTTCTACGTGGAGGGCCTCGCCTTCCCAGATGCCAACTTCCAGGGCCTCGTTTCCCTCACCATCTCCCTGCTGGATGTGTCCAAACCGGTAGGCTGGGATGGCGGCAGCGGGGGCCCTGGGCTTCCTGGCAGTGGTCCAGTGGGGGTGGGGGTGGAGCCCAGCAGGGGAGGGGTGGTCGGGGTTGGGCCCTGGCTTCTGTGACCGCCCCTTCCCTGCTCCTCTCCCTGCAGGAGCTCCCCAAGGCCCTGGTGTTCCAAGATAGTGTGACCTTCCGCGTGGCCCCCTGGATCATGACCCCCAACACCCAGCCCCCAGAGGAGGTGTACGCGTGCAGGTGAGGGCCCTGGAGTGCTGGGGGCAGGGTGCAGAGGCGCAGGGAGGAGCCCCGGCCCAGGAGCCACAGGCCCTCCATGTACTTGTTGTGTGAATGGGGAAAGCTGTAACCCCTATTGCTGCTCGCTGAGGGCTTGTGGCTCTTTTGGAAACACTCAAAGGCAGGGCACATCACTGCTGCTGTTTTTTGTCCTGGTCCTGTCCTGAGGGCTGCTTTTATCTCCTGGGGGCCCATAGAGTTTGCTAGACCTGCAAGATAAGAACCCTCAGAGTGTGGCTCTTGGACCTTCTGCACCAGAAACTCCTGGGGACTCATGTAAAATGCACATTCGCCCTGGCCGGTGTGGCTCAGTGGGAGGGGTATCATTCCACAAAGTGAAGGGTCGTTGGTTCAATTCCCAGTCAGGGCAGGTGCCTGGCTTGCAGGCCGGTCCCTGGTTGGGACACGTGCAAGAGGCAACCAATTGACGTTTCCCTCACAGATCGATGTTCCTCTCCTTCTCTTTCTCCCTCCTTCCCATCTCCCTAACAATAAATAAATAAATTCTCTAAAAAGTAAAACACACATTTCTGGCCAACCTCTGTACTGTTGGGTTATGTAACTGGGGATGGGCCATGTGCATTTAATAAGCTGCCCTGGGAAACCTCGGCATCCAGGGTGCAGTCTAAGGACCCCTATTAAGGATGCTGGGCTCTCAGTGGTCCCTCCTTTCTCCTCTTCCAGTTGCATCCAGGGCAGAAGGGGTGAGAGCGTAACCTGGTAGTCAGGACTCAGCTGGAAGCCAGAGAGGACTGGGTCCCAACCCCAGGGACGGATTCAAATTCCAGTGCTGTCCCCAGATCGCACGACCTTGAGCACTGGCCTCCCCACTCAGGGGACTGTCACGAGGGTTTAATGAGATAATATTTACTAAAAGCAGAGAGACAGGCCAAGCCAGGGTCTCCCTTCGGGCAGCAAGCCCCCCTGAGCACCCACTGTGCGCCTCCCCACCTCTGGGGAGCTCTTGTTCCTCCCCTGGGGACGCTGCAGGGGTCCGACCAGCTTGCCCACTCAGTCAGATCTGGGCGGAGGCCACTGGCTGCTGAGTTCAGAACACCAAGGAATTTCCTCTCTGCTCTTTCTAGGATATTTGACAATGAGGACTTTGTGAATTCTTTGACTGCTCTGACCCAGAAAGCCAACTGCAAGCTGACTGTGTGCCCCTTGGAGGAGAGCATGGAGGACCAGTGGATGCAGGTTCGTGGCCCCGAGGGGTGAGCAGACCCGGGCGTGCAGGACCCAGGTTCCAGGGGGCCCAGCCCAGCCCCTTGCCAGCCTCCCTTCCTCAGATGGGCAGGAGTTAGGAGCCTCTCAGGGCCTTTGCATAAGGGGACTCAGGCAAGAGATTCTACGGACACTTAACTGCAGGACTCTGCATGCCCACCATAGTCACCAGCGTGAAAGCCACCTTCTTGTCTAAAAACTCTCAGGCGACCGCTGGGCATGAGTCAAAGCTTAGGGGACTGGAGCTCAACTGCTCTGTTCAGTGGCCCTTCCTCCAAGCCGGCCTTCTGGGCTCAGCTACCAGACAGGGCCACGCCCCTGCTCCAGCACCTTCTGTGGCTCCCACCTCCTCCTCCTCAGCCTGCATCCAGGGCCCTCGCAGGCTGGCTGCCCCCACCCCCCTGAGCCAGCCTGCCACCACACAAGTAACTCGGTATCGACCATTCTGTTTCCATGTCAGGTTCTGCCATCACTCCATGAGCTCCCTGAGGGCAGAGGCCGGGTCTCACTCATCTCAGCACCCCAGCGCCTGGCACTGGGCAGCGCCAGGGGGCAGTTGGTGGGCTGACCCGAACTTCCCTGCTACGCCCTTGCTTTGTTGCGGGACCCTGTCCTTCCAAGCCTTTCGCCCTGCTCCCCGGCCCGCATCTCTGCCCCACGCTGTTCCTTCTCTCTGACCACCCTCCCCATTCTCACCCCCATGTCCAAATCATGCCTCTCCAACCCCAGCTTGAAAGCCCCCCCTTTGTTAATTTCCCCAAACCCCTCCAGCAGGAATTCATCCCTCTTTCTTCTAACCACCCCCAAATGACTCCCTGTCTTCCCTTCCTGTCATTCCCTCCACGTTCGTTCAGGCTGAACCATATGAAATGGCTGATATGCCACCATTCTTGACCGACCAGAATGGCAATTTCATATGGTTCAGCCTAATAATGACTTATGTCCAATGGCACATCTGTCTGCTGGAATATAGGCAGGATCTGCACCTGATTCCTTTCTGATCCTTGCCCTAACCTGTCCCCCTTTAGGGGAGAGCCGCTCCTCCCTGTTCTCCAGGCCTCAGCCAGCCATGCTCCCTGGCCTGTCCCAGTCTCCCAGCCACATAGGCAGCCCCTCCTCTGTATACCTGCAGGTCCCCTTCCCTCCCATCACCCCCTAACATGGGGTGGTATGTCCGCGGCTCCCTGGGTCTCTCACCTCAAAGGTAGTGCCTGAGGCTTGCTCACCGCGGGTCCCCAGGACCCTGCCCGGAGCACTTGCCAGGCAAGGACACGCCAGGGTGCACAACACCTTAGTGCCAACACAGGAGAATAAGCTCTGCTTCCTCAGAGCCCGTCCTCTGGGGTCCAGCATGAATTTGTCCTTGGCCACAAAGGGGAGAGAGCGTGGGTGGTTTCATGCCCCCCACGCCCGCACTGGGTGCCAAGACCCAGGCAGCATGCATACCAGCCTCCCTTCCCCTCGCTCCACCCAGGACGAAATAGAGATTGGCTACATCCAAGCTCCACACAAGACGCTGCCTGTCGTCTTCGACTCGCCGAGGAACCGGGGCCTGAAGGAGTTCCCCGTCAAATGCCTGCTGGTAGGTGCTGGGGGGGCACGGGCGGCTGAAACCCCCTTGCCCTGGGGCCTCCTCCTTCATGGCCTGTCTCCCTGCACCCCCTCCACGGCCGAGCGCCCCAGCTCCCCAGGTGCAATTCCTGCTCGACCAGCGATCCTGCAGGCCGACTGCGTTGTTTTGTTAAAACCGCGGTGAGATCTGGTCCTTCCTTTCCCAAAGCCCTTTCCAGCTCTGAGCTCACCTCAGGGTAGTCCTGCTGAGGACGCAGCTGAGGCTTGGGCGTCTTTGTTCTGCGGAACATGCTCTCGCTGCACGGGGGTGATGGGGCCAGGACCAGAACCTTCCCCAGCATCCAGTGGGAGGCTCTGTCTTTTGAGTGGGGTCTGGCCTTTGGGGGCTCCATCTGGGATGGAGGGGTTCAAGAGCAGAGTGGTCATTTCCTGCGCGTGACCTTATCAGCCAAAGACTGCATGTGATTGGGCGTTGGGCTGGGGTGACACATGCTTGGCTAGCCTGGGAGGTTTGCGCAAACTCAGCTTAGAGATGTAAGAGTTACATTTACTGAGCCTGCACTGACTTATTTAGCTCACTGGACAACCTTTAAAGTAGATGCTCTCACTAGGCCCACTTTATAGATGAAGAAACTGAGGCTCAGGGAGGTAAAGCAGCTTTCTGAAGGTCACATGGAAAGAGAAGGGAGAAGTGGGACTTCGAACCAGGCCCGCCTGCCTCTGTGAGCACACCCTTAATCGCCCCCGCCCCCGCCTCTGTGCTTGCCCAGGAAGTGCCCAGGCCTGCACTCCGAGCCCCCATAGCCCTTGACTCCAGGCGCCCAGGGACAATGGAGGAAAGAGCATGGGGGTGCAAGGGTGGCTATGACAACGGGCTCTCTAAGGAGCACTCTGCGCCCCAAGCGGGGGGCCCTGCCCACGTGGGAAGCTTTGAAAGAAAACCTAACCTTAACAGCAACTGGTCCAAGCCCCGCTTTCTCTCCTGTGCCGAGTGGTGTGGGGGAGAGACTTTGTCGAGTTCACGGTGCCCTCTGCTGCGGATCCAGGTCGACCCTGGGTGAGGAGCAGCGGGACAAGCCGGCCGGCTGCGCCGAGACATCGGCTCTTCTCCTGTTTCGGTCCCACTTCCTCTGTTCCGTGGCCTCCTCTTCTTTGATGTTCCAAGCGTGACACAGGCCAGTTTCTCTGACGTCACCAGCCAAACCTCCCGAGTCCCGCCAGACAGGCAGGCAGACGGACAGACACCTCAGCCTAGGCAACGGCCTCCTAGCCAAGCACGTCCGCTGTATTCCAACGCAAATCACTCGGGAAGAGAATTAGGATAAAACTGAAACTCGTTGACAGGCGACGGCCCTGCTTCCTTCTCCAGCCTCATCGAGGGTCCCCTTCCCTGTCCCGCACCTGGTCTCCTTCCTGTTCTTTGCATGTGCCATTCCCTCTGCCTGCAATGCCCTTCCCAGTCCATGAGCCTGGCTGCTTCTCAGTGTTCAGTCCTCTGCTTCAGTGCTGCCCTCATGAGGCCGTCCTGACTGCTGTGAGGGAGAGGGCAAAGGCGGCCTCAGGCTTTGGCCTTCGTGACAGGCAGGCTCTGTCCCCTGAGATGGGGAGAACCGTGAGAGGAACAGGGGGTGAGGGGTGGGAACAAGGGTCAGCAGTTCTGTCTGGGACAAGTGTGAGCCATTTAGTCAACATCCGAGTGGGAAGTCAGGCAACCCATGGATCCCAGTCTAGAGCTTCACAGAGAGGTGCCCGCTTGGGAGATAATCATGGGGTTGTCAGCACGAGGACAGCATTTCACGAGGCTGGAGGGAACAAAACTAAAGGACAAAAGGAGACCAGGACTGAGCCGCCCCAACCCCCTGCACAGGAGACTGAGAGGGAGCAGTGGTGAGCAGGGCCCAAGAGCACACAGGATCCCAAAGGCCAAGTGCAGAAAGAGTGTGTGGGTGTGACCAGCTGGCCCCGTGCTGCTGGCAGGCAAGGACGACGCGGCCTGGGCCTTGCCCGCTGCAGTCAGCTGTGTGACCATGGAGAGCAGTTTCAGTGACGCAGTGAGGGTGGACGTCAGGTTGGCATGGGCTTTAGAGAGGAAGGAAGGACAGGCCTTGGAAATGACAGGGTTTAGATTCGTGGACTCGCAGACCTCCTTGGGATGATTTATCTTCCCAGAAAAAGGCACCCAAGCTCACAATTTAGAATCTCCTTCAGGGAGTCCATGGCCCCATGAAGCCCCAGGGCACAGACCGTTGATGATCTAGAAAGCTGGGGCTAGTGCCGTAGCGTGAACAACGGCTCCTCAGACATATCCACGTCCTGGTCCCCGCCCCGATGCTGAAGGGGCTTCGCAGGTGTGATTAAGTTAGGGATCTTGAGATGGGGAGGTTACCTTGGATTGTCTGGGTGGACCCTATGTATTCATAATGCGCCTTGTAAAAGGGAGGAGAAAGGGTCAGGGTGGGTGAAGACCAGCGATGGTGGGAACAGGTTGGAGGTGGAGGAAGAGGCCCCCAGCCAAGGTGGCGACGAGAAGCTGGAAAAGGCCAGGAAAGGGGTTCTCCCCTCGGCGCCTCCAGAAGCAGCCCAGCCACACTTTGATTTAGCTCTGGGAAACGGGTTCAGACTTCTGACGTCCAGAACTGTTGGAGGATAAGTGTGCAGTGTCATAAGCCACTAGATCTGAATATGGCGGCAGTAAAAAATTAATCCAGGGAGCAAGAGTTGTGTCGCCCACCTGGCCTTCTCAGGAAGGCCCACGTGGAGATGGCGCAGCTGTTCATAGAAGCTCATTCTGGCCCCGGGCCAGGGTGTGGACTGGGAGAGTTTGCGGTAGAGACAGCTCGAATCTTCACCCTGTCTCACACTGGCCAGGGGACACGAAGCCACGTGCCACACTAAGCTTAGTATCCTGTCTGTGAAATGAAGGTGGAAGTGGTATTTTGTGAATTTGTTATTATGCCCTAGTTAATAACTAGGTTTATGAAGTAGCTGGGGTCTGTTAGGGACCCCACAAATGCTCGTGCCTCTTCTCGCCCACCTGATTCGGGGTTCCTTCAACATTCCACAGTCATGGTACCTGCTCTGGACCAGCTGCTGATGGTGACTGAATTCCTTCCTGTGACCAAGTTAATCTTTAAACTTAGACCCCACCCTCTCTTCACCCAGGAACTAAGTTCTCTACCCCTCAGCACGTGCTTCTCCCACCTCAGGGTCCAGATTTTGGCTACGTGACTCGAGGGCCCCAAACAGGGGGCGTTACTGACTTCGACTCCTTTGGGAACCTGGAAGTGAGCCCCCCAGTCACAGTTGGAAAGAAGAAATACCCGCTGGGCAGGATTCTCATTGGGGACAGCACTTACCCCAGGTAAGGAGGGGAGGGGCCAGGCCACAGGGGTGCCGTGGGAAAGCAGAAGCCAGAGCAAAACCATTCCTACTTGCTTCCAACGCAACTGCAGAGCATGTGAGAGGAATCAAAGCACAGGGCAAGAAATACGGGCTTAGGATCCCAACAGACCCACGTTCAACTTCTAGTGCGGTCCCTTACCCTCCTTCGGTCAGTGAGTATTTACTGAGCGCCTGCCCTGTGTCAGGCACTATGCTAGGTGGTGGGAAGGAATACAGCCGTGACCATGACAGACAAGTCCCTGCCACTATGGTAGTGGGGAGAAGTGGGGGAGAAATGGAAAAGTAGACAAATAAGATCCTTTCAAACAGTGAAGAGAACACAAGGAAAGGGGCAGGGGAGGAGGGGGAACTGTGTTACTGTGACCAGGGAGGGCCTCTCTGGTGAGGGAGCTATTGAATGGAGCCCTGGGGACAAGTAGGACTTGGGCTCAAAGACAAGAAGGGCAAGAAAAATCTGGAGTTGAGGGTTCCTGGCAGCCAAAAGAGCATATGCAAAGGCCCTGAGGCAGAGATGCTCTCAGTGTATTCAAGAAGGCCAGAGGGGCTAAAACAGATTGCATAAGAGGAAGAGCAAAGGGCTAGGTCCCAAAGGACTTTGGAGGCCAGAGCTGGAGAAACGGAAACTCAGGAGGGAGAAGGGACGTCCCTGAGGCCGCACAGCTAACGAGAGACCCCCGCCCCCCACACCAGCTCCTCCGGTGGGATCCGCTCCCGCCCCGTGTTCATTCACACCCACATCTGGGCTGCGTCAACAGGCGGCGCTTGCTGAGGCTAAGCTCTGGCCCTTTTACCTTGTGACTCCGTGCCTCAGTTTCCCCAATAAAAGTAGGATGAAAATTCCTAAATTCCTCAAATGTTAGGGGATATAACAGGCACAGCCCAGGCTCCCGAATCCCTTTCCTGACTCCTTTGGCAAGCCCCCAGTCCCGCAGACCACCCTGCCGAGCCCTGCCCCCCACCCGCTCTCCCGTAACATGCCTTTACTCCTGTGTGGGCAGTGCTAGGAGCCAGGAGATGCACCAGACCCTGCAGGACTTCCTCGCTGCCCAGCAGGTGCAGGCCCCAGTGAAACTCTACTCCGACTGGCTGACTGTAGGCCACGTGGACGAGTTCCTGAGTTTCGTTCCGGTGCACAAGAAGGTGCAGTCTGGGGGCTGCCTGGAGGAAGCCCCATGCCTCCTTCCTGGGTTCCTAAGCACAGCTCTGCACTCGGCCTGGGAGGCCTGACCTCACATGTCCGACTCTATTTTGCCTCCTCCTGGGAGGCCTGGTGTGGGGGTGGAGGGTGGGGGGTGGCGTGGAGGAGGTGGCCAGCCTGGGTCCCAGCCCACACTCCCAGCCCCCTCCTTAGAGCCCTCTTCCTGGGGAGCCCTCTGGGCCAAGCTGACCTCTGACCCCAGGGTTACTGCCTCCAGGGCTTCCGGCTGCTCCTGGCCAGCCCCAGGTCCTGCTACAAGCTGTTCGAGGAGCAACTGAAGAAGGGTCATGGGGAGGCCCTGCTGTTTGAGGGCATCACAAGTAAGTTGGTCCTGCCTTGCTCTGCTATTTGGGTACCTTCCTCTGCCTGCACGTGGTCTCCTATTGCCAGATGGAATCACTTGGGCATCAGATGTTTTCTGAGCACCTACTGTGCACCAGGCACTGTACTGAGAGCTGGGGCTGCTGTGCAAACATGGCCCTTGGTGCTCACAGTCCAGGGGAAGTGAGTCAAGGAAATGACTACAACACAGAGGTTTTAGGGGGTGTCAGGAAGGAGCTCAAGGAAGGCTTCCTGGAGGAGGCAGTAGCCAAGCAAGAGCATGAGGGATGAGTGGGAGCTGGCCAGGCAATTAGGGTGGTGGGATGAGAGGAAGAGAGATATTCCAGATAGAGAGAACAGTGCATGCAAAGACTCAGAGGTAGGAGGAAGCAAGACGTGTTCGAGGACCTGAAAAGAAAGTTTGGTCTGGCCAGAGCACAGAATGAAATATTATTTTTTTCAGTAAAGTTCTCAGACACAGGCCGGGGTCTGAGGTTGAGAAGTTTCCGTGGCTGAGAGTCTTCACCCAACATCTATAGTATATTGTGTGGCACCAGGCAATGGCTTGGCCTCTGTTTGCCACTCGGTAAACAAGATCCCTTTGGAGATAAGAAAGTTTACAGGAGGGAGAACAACACTTCCAATGAGAACTTAACCCTGATAAAATATTTTACTACTGGCATTTGCCTCCCAGATACTCACAGCAAACCTGTGTGTTAGGAATTAGTGCTGCTCCATTTTATAGATGGAAAAACTGAGTCCCCACTGCTTGCTAGGAAGAGGGAAGTGGACCTCTGAATTCATCTGCATTTTCTTTTCCTTTTCCTTCACGGCAGCAAAAAAAGAGCAGAAATTAAAGGACATTCTATCAAACAAGAAATTGAGAGAACAAAACTCCTATGTGGAGGTACCAGCCCTGGGACCCCAGAGGGATCGCAGTCCAGGCAGAGCTGATGGCCCTGCCCCCACGCCCGCCCCCTTCCCCTGAGGCAGAGCCTCCCTCTGGCTGCCTGCAGGCTCCAGGGCGAAGGGCCCTGGGATGCGGGTAATGTGTGTGAGTGAGAAAGAGTGTGGAGAGCTCAGTCAGCGCTACAGGAACACGCACAAGGAGACGCATGGAAAAGAGAGACAGGAAAGACAAGTGACTGCTCCGAAGCAGAGGGAAGGCAGGGGAGAGACTAAGCGCTGAAGTGACAGAGTGACTGGAAAGACGGGGAGGCGGGCGGGGGAAGGTATCTATCACTCCTTCCTGACCGCCCCTTGCAGTCCCCCTGCCCCCCGCCCTTTGGCCCCGACCACCCCAGGCCATGCCCGCTGCCCTGCCCCCTTGCCCCTCCCCTAGAGCTGCATTGACTGGAACCGGGAGGTGCTGAAGCGGGAGCTGGGCCTGACCGAGCGGGACATCGTGGACATCCCGCAGCTCTTCAAGCTCCGGGGAGACTTCACAGGGACCTTCAAGGCCGAAGCCTTTTTCCCAAACATGGTGAGGAAGTGGCCTTGAGTGAGCGAGGCCAGCTGGGCTCTGGGTGCGGGTCCCTGGGGCTTGGTGGTCTCCTCTTCTGCTTGAGATTTTCATGGCCCATCTGGGGATTTTACAGAGCCCTGTGGGCATCTCACCAGCAGAGATGATTGTGGTAACAGAGAGTGAGATGTCCCTTCAACGACTCATTAGCTCTGGAGACTGAGTCTGTGCCTACTATGTGCTGGCACAGTGCTCTGCACACGTGTTCTTATCTAATTGTCAAAGCAATGGAAAGGTGTAGGGCTCATTTTGCTGATGAGGCTCAGAGGGGCAAAGAGACTTGCCTAAGGTCACACAGCGATTGAGTGGTACCCACGTTGGCCTGGAGCCAAAACCCCCGTCTTTCGCTCTCACTAGCCCACCTCCTAATATAATGGAGGAAACAGTCGTTTGCATAAGTTATAATAGACAAAAAGTTCTACAAAAGAGGTGGTCACATTCATCCATTCAATGGATATTTATTAACTGCCTACTCTGTGCCAGGCACTGCGCTTGGATCTATGCGAACATGCAGAAGGAGTTTGGGGACTCATGGGCACCCTCATGCAGGGGGTGTGGCATTTGAACTGAGCTCAGCTGAGTGAGAGAGTTGGCCAAAAAGTAGTGGGTGGGGAAGGAGCCTAGCCCCCAGAATCTGACAGACTTGGGTGTTAAGTCCTAGACTAGCAGTGGTCTTGGATAGCCCACGTCCCCCGTGTGGGCCTCCGTTTTCTCATCTGGGAAGTGGGGCTGTTATTTCTGAAGGTCAGAAGAAGGAGGCGGCACTGGGATAATGATGCAGGCGGCACGCTGCCACCATTGACCTGGGATCCCACCTTTGCAGGTGAACATGCTGGTGCTGGGCAAGCACCTGGGCATCCCCAAGCCCTTCGGGCCCCTCGTCAACGGCCGCTGCTGCCTGGAGGAGAAGGTGCGCTCCCTGCTGGAGCCGCTGGGCCTCCACTGCACCTTCATCGATGACTTCCAGGCCTACCACCTTCGGCATGGGGACGTGCACTGTGGCACCAATGTGCGCCGGCAGCCCTTCTCCTTCAAGTGGTGGCACATGGTGCCCTGAGCCTGTCCACCCCGAGCATCCTCTCCCTGGGGAAGCTCTTGGCTGGAGACTCTGGTCCCCTGCAATGTAGCACAGCAAGAGCTCTTGGGGACATTTTGGCTCCCCATCGGGTGGCGACCCTCCAGACAAATTGCTTACTTCCTTCCCCTGTGTCCCCTCTGAAGATCCCAAGATGGCCCTGGCATTACAAACTGAGTTCTGCTGTGAGAAGCTGCAATAAACTTTTATAATCATTTTGTCTATGAGGTCAAGCTGTCATTCATTCATTCACTCATTGTCGAGTTGAACATTACAAACTTGAAGGTGCTATCAGGACTTTTTGAAGGCCAATGTTCCTGTGTGTGCCTAAGAATTGGATCCTGATCACGTTGTCCTTTGAGAAAAAGACAACAGATAAGTGATGCAAGAGCCCAAAGGGACAGAAAGGTTTGACTTGTGTCAACACACTCAGAGGTTAGCGAATCCTCCAGGTCCCTTCATTGATCGTTTCCAGCCCACCAACTGGAAAGCTCCTCAAGCGTGCTCTTGGCCCTCTCGCTTGCTGCTGAGTCAAGGACTACCTACCTAGTGGGGTGTGGCGCCTAGTAGGAGCCATGGGATTCTGTGGGATGAAAGCATTTGCCCCCTCTGTCTTTTTGTACATTTTCTTTCATGGCCTTGACATGCGGGCTTAGATTCCTCCATAGAAAATAAAATGTAATGTCTTGAGAGCTTTGAAATTTGAAGCTAGGTCTTGGCCCCATAGAGTCTGAGATACTGAGAAACACCCACAGGTACTGTTTTCCTGTGGGTCGTGGAGAACAATGAGGTGGGAAAGGCGGACAAGCAAATCCTCTGCCCACAGACTAGGGAGAGAGGGTCCCATGAACCTGGTGAAAACGTGCCTCGCTGAAGAGAATCAGTGGCTCCCCCCGCCCCCCAGGTTGCTGGCCCGAAACGTGTGCAGTATTCCTTGTGGGCCAGAAAAGGCTCCTTGTACAAGAGGAAGTTGGGTGAGGTCATCCCACAACCTTACCAATAGGGCTGCCTGGAGCAGCGACAGCCTTCTGAGGCTGCAACAGATCCAGAGACAAGCTGGTGGCTTCAGCAGCCCTTGCATCAAGGCAAATGCCGGAGAACATCCCCAGCCATCCACGGGGCGTGGGGGTCTCTGTCATGGAGCCAGGGAAGCCCACGTGGAGAAAGCACCAGGTATAAGCTCTACCAGCCCCACGGAGCATCTGTAACAGTGCCCCCAAGCAGGAACTGTGCTGCTCCCTCCCCTCCCTAACAACCGACTCCCCTCCCTACCCCGGGGGTCACAAACTGTGTGGCTAAAATCCACGGAAATTCTCACAGTTCTGGAGGCCAGAAGGCCCACATCAGTTTCACTGGGCTGAAATGAAGGTGTCAGCAGAGCCATGCCCCCTCCGAGGGCTCTAGGGGAGAATCTGTTCCCTGGCTCTTCTACCCTCTGGCGGCTGCCAGCTGGCCTTGGCTGGTGGCTGCTTTACTCCAATCTCTGCCTGTGTGGTCACAGCACCTTCTCCTGTGAGCGGCTCAAACCTCCCTCTGTTTCTCTTATGAGGACATGTGCGCAATGGCATTTAGGGCCCATCCAGATCGCCCAGGGTAATCCCTTCCTCTCCACAACTCAGTCACACCTGCAAATTGAGTCACATCTGCACTGGCTCTTTCTAGTGAGGAGGTAGCCCAGGTTCCAGGGCTTAGGACCTAGTAGATTTGGGGGTTATTATTCCACCTCCTCCAGGTCTGGAGCCACCGTCTGCCAGCAGGGACAAACAGAAAGGAAAGAAAGAAACTGAGTGTCCCCTTTCCACAGCTTTAAGCTGTGTCCCTCCATTAAACCCAAATGGGAAAGGCTGAATTTTATAAAACCGAGTTTTGAGGTTTTCTTTTGTGCAGGTCTGGACTTTGGAACTTCTGAATGGAGGTTGTTTGGCAGCTGTTTTAGGCTGGATTCTGAGAGGGAGATCGGCCTGCAGGAGGTTTGTGGGGGGAGAGCTCTCAGGATCCACGCCTGGGAGGGGGTGTGGGGCGCGTTGGGAGGTGATGAGCTGGGAAGCAGTGGCCACAGGCATTTCAGGTGATCTCATGGGACGCTCTGGGGCTGGGGTGGGCCCTTGCAGTTGTCCTGAGTTAAGATAAGCAGTCTGGCCTTTGCCCCCCACACTGCATGTAGCTGTCCGGAGTGGGGGGGGGCGGGGTGTGGCCTTGGGAACTGGCAGAGGACAATTCAGGAGGACTTGCTGTGAGCCGCCAGAAGCCAACTCACAGCATGGGGGTGGAGGTGGGGACAGGGGACAAGTGCTCCACCCTGAGCATGGGACTTGATGATGGAGGAGCGAGCGGAGAACTTCTGACACTGCACGAGCACCCCCGGAGCTGCGGGCCTGCCTCTGAAACATCGCTCTGTGGTTGCCAGCCTCTCATTTTGGTTGGAGAGCCTCGTGGGCGCCTACTGGGTTGTCTTTTGGGAGCATGGAAGTGCGGCAGGGATCATTTAGTCATTTGCTGCCCAAGAATTTGTTGAGCATCTACTACGTCCAGGACTTTTGTGGGAGCTGGGGATTCAGTGATGAACAGGAAGTGCCCTGAAGGGGGAGATGGACCCTCTCTAGGTCCCTTTCATGCCCAGAGAAACCAAGGGTGCCCCACCCCACTCTGCTCAGAGAGAGCCCCGGCACCCAGCAGGGCTCTCCGAGAGCTTCAGGGACAGAGCTTCCCTGCAGCGCCCCTCTGGCCACCTGTGCGCGCAGGTGTGGGTGAGCCTTTGTGGTGGGAGCATCCATGTGTGGAACACCTCCTGTCTGATCAATTTTGCCACTTTCAACTGACCAGAGGGGCTTTTAGGGTCTCTTTGCTAACCCCTTGCTCCAAGACCCCCCAAAACAAAGCTTATGCTGTGTGCTTAAACCCTCCAAGGGGGCATATTTTTATGTTTAATCTTAAATTTAAGCAGCCTGGCTAACTGAGCAGTCTTCGCTCAGTACCCAATTTATTCCCACCATGATGTCACACACAGGTTACTCATCGCAGTGTCGTGTGTCAGGGCAAAAAACTGGAAACAACGCTAATGTGTCTATCTATGATGGTGCAGCCCTGTGTGGAATACTATACAGCCATAAAAAATGTAGGGGTTCTTTTTACATACTGATACAAAGACCTCCTGTCTGAGTTCTACTATGAAGTGAGCAAAGCAAGGTAAAGAACACTATGTAGCATATGCTACCCTTTATGTAAAAATAAAATGGGGCAGGTATACATACATGTTTGCTTGGTCACACACTGTAACATTATTTGGAAAGATGTAGGAAAGACGGGTGCCACTGACCGCCTCCAGGGAAGGGAACTGAGTTGGGTGAGGGACAGAAGGAGGCAGACTTTGTTGCAAACCCCTTGTGAACTTGGAACCATGTGACTATGGTACCTAGTCAAGCACAACCATAACCCTCACTTAAACGTGAAATGAACACCGTTTTCAAGTTAGCTGCTGAGTCCCTCGGGCTGGAGCAGGTGTTCTAATCTCTGCTCAGTGAGCTCAGTGGGGAGGAGGAGCAGCTGGTGAGCACGGCGTAGCACGGGCTCCTGTTTATTCTACCAATGCTTCCCGAGCCCCGCAGCGAGCTGCTGACTCGGCGTGGACACGGACTCCCCTTAATCGGGACGTGGCTTCCCGGGCCACACCCCAGACTTGGTAGGCCCAGGGTCTGCCACTGTAACAAGACTCCCCAGTCACTTCTGCAACCACTAGAACATTAAGAACCACTTTGCAGCGCTCACCTCGTCAATTTCCAGGAAACATACCCTTAGAACTGAGGTCCCAGGGCCTGGTGCTGCTACCACGCGCTGCCACCTTGAGCCGCACACGTTTGCAGACTTGTCCCCGACAGCCCCTCTCGCTCCCAGCTGAAGGCCAGAGACCTGAGCAGCCCGCCCCATACGGGCCTCGGGTCTGCAGGCACAAGCTGTCTGATAGACGGTGATGAAGGGGTTCTGGCCCCCACCTGCTCCTCTGCAGCCGCAGTGGAGAAATCAGTCACACCTGGGCAGCCGCTGAAGGCTTCTTAACAAGGGGGCGGGCGGGAGAGGCCCTGAGCGCATAAAGAGGGGAGGGCAGCGGGGAGCCCCGGGGTCAGCGGAGGTTGCTGGGAGAGAGTTGTTGGCATAGAGGGCTGTGCTATGTCCTTCCAAAGCATCGTCCACCTGTCCCTGGACAGCCCTGCCCATGCCATTTGTGTGCTGGGCGTGGAGATCTGCTTGGATCTCAGAGGGTGAAGAGTGGGGGGCTCTCCCAGGGCTGGCTGGGGGGTGGGCGCCAGGCTCCCCTCTCGGGGGGCCACCCCTGGGTTACCCGGGGGTTGGCGGTTTTCTTCTTTCTGTGCAACTTACCTCATCGTCCTGCCTTAGCTCAAGGAACCAAGTTCAGGTTCCTAAGGGTTTCCCAATCCTGACGCTGCAGCCTCATGGGCTGGGGGGCCTTAGGAGCAGGTGGTCTACCTCTCAGTCCCCTTACCTCTGGCACGGGGGTGAGGCTGGCTCTCAAGGGAGACTCCTGTAACTGGGGGCAGGGGACCCTCCCAAGAGACCAACCCTTCCTGAGGCCCAGGCCAAGTCTCTTCTGCTCCAGGGCTCCCTGGTGGCTCCTTCCTCCTTGTGGGCTGAAGGTTTCCAAATAAGATGTAGCTTTGGTAGTTTCTAGAACAGTCGGGGAGGAGGTGGGGTCTGGGCTGGAGCTTGTTGGGGAGAGGCCATAGAGGTCTGTGAAGTAGGGGAGGGTAAGAGTCAGGCTGGAGTTGTTAGGACTCCCCAAAACTGCTCTGACCATAAATGAGGGGGCCTCTGCACCCAAGGGCGGGGGGAGAGGATGGGAGGCCATGCCCCAGCATATCAGCTGCACTGTAGGCTGAGAAGGTGAGACACTTGTGTGCTGAAGTCTGTCCCCTCTTTGGACAAACAAGGTGTGCCCCACCGGAGTGTGAGTCCTTCACTGTCAGCGGCTCTCCGGGGGTTTTGGTGGACATCCACAACGCGGCCACCACCCAGCTGCCGCTGTCTGACCCCATGGACGTGCTGGTGAAGATGACATCCCCCAGCGTCGCCGTGGACGGGGACAAGGTAGGCTGGGGGAGGCGCCGGGGGGGCAGAGTAGAGCGAATACAACCCAGGGTCGCCCTCCTCACAGCTGGCATTTCCCGAGTCTGAAGACCTCGGGTGCCCAGTGGTCTGCCTGTCTGGCCGCCTTTCACGCTTGCAGCGCACCCGTGAGGCAGGCGCTCTGTGACCCCATTTTACTGATGAAGAAATGGAGGCACTGAGAGGAAGGGCCTTGCCCAGGTCAGTCACCAGCGGAGCCGGATTCACGCTCAGACATGCCTGTCTCCAGGTGTGCTCCTGACCATGACGCGGGCCTACCTTCCAAACCAGCTGCTTTGAAAGTCTGCCTTAACAGGTCTCAGCAGCAGAGCTCAAATGAGCTTCTTGGCTAAGGCTAGGCTTCTGGGGGTGGAGATCCTAATGAAGCCTCAGAGCTAATGTGTGTTAAACCCACGCTTCCCCTAGGTATCTTGCACGCAGAGGTTGGCTTTACCCTGTTTTACATACACCTAGTTGCTTGGCGTAACTAGAGTGGGAGACAGTCCAGGATTTGAGCTCAAGTTTGTGCCCTTTCTCCTAGATAAGCTGTCTCACTACTTGGGGCCCCTGTGGCAGGTGGTGGTTGGCTTCACCTGGCAGAACAGGCCGACAAGCTCATGGTGGATTAGGCATTGGTGGTGGTTGCGGCGGCAGCAGGCTACTCGTGCAGAGCAATGAGAAGCACCAGGGCCTCTAACACTCAACACCTGGGCCACAGCCCTACCAGCTCAGTCCACCTCGGGGCAGGGTCCTGGCATCTGCAGTTCACTGTGCCCCAGGTGATTCCACTGGGAGGCTGAGGGTGAGACACACAGAGGTGGCCCATTCAGGACCAGGGCGTCTGTCAGCGGAACTTGCTGGCCTGTCTGTTGGGAGGTGGCAGGAACTCAGCTGGGATGGTGGTGGGTGTACATACCCGTTGTATGCTGCGTGCCCTGGGCAGACAATGCCCTAGAGGCAGGCAGTACGCTTAGAGAACACCTGCGAGTCTCCCGGGTGAGAGCCGGGGCTGTCATGTGTCCCAGATGAGCCCAGACAACCTGAAAAGTATGCTCAGCCCTGTCAGGAGTTGCCTATGGAGATGCTTGACCTTGGAGGACAAGAGGTTCCATTAAGGAACAGGTGATGGTTGCACACATGAAAATTGGGCCCTAGCTAATGTTCTCTGGTTCACTATGAAGGCCTTGTCAAGGGCTGAAGGGCAAGGTCTTTGTCTGGAAGCAGAGGCTGGTTTGGGACACAGGAAAGACTGAGTTCCAATTCCAGTCCCGGCCCCAGGTGTCCCACTTCCTTTGGAGTGTGTGGCTTAACCTATTGGAGGGCCCCGCTTCTCCTTGGCCCACCTCATGGAGTGACAGGTGACTCTCAGGAGGGCAGGAATGGTGAGGAGGACACAGGGCGTAATTTAAATGAATCTTGGCCTCTAGAGCCGGGCAGCTTGGATCTGCAATCCTGTGCTACCCCGTCCTGGATGAATGACATAGGCAAGTTCCTTGATCCCTCTGCCCTTGTGGGTAGAGCCCGCCTGGGTGGGTTACGAGGCCTGAGCGTGGAAGTCTTTGGCATGATCATGGAGTGTTGAATGCGTTCTTCACATGGTGAGGTACAGCACAGTGGCCCTGTACCGGCTCACAGCGAGAGGTAGGGAGCTGCTCTGTGTGACCAAAACCAAGGGGCTGGACGTGGCCCCGGCCCTGCTCCTGCCTTTCACTGCTCCCATGGGTTCTCGGGGTTGTCTCCGCAGGTCGTAGTCTCCTACTATCAGCCCGATGAGGAGGTCCCCGTGGCCACAGCTGAGCTCTATCTCACTGGCATTGGTGAGTGCTGTTCTCACCCCTGGAGCGGAAGGGTGGGCTTGGCAGGAGCGGGGCTGGAGCAGCTCTCCCTGTAATGAAATGCCTTCCATGGGTCCCAGAAGGGATTCACTCAACATACCACGCACACTCCCTCCTCAAAGCTCAGCCACCCCTCTCCCACCTTCACTACCGACCTAATTTTCTGAGGACAGAGGCCATCAAATGTCCACATGTTTCCGTCACCTGCCCATGTCTGGTTCAAAGATAAATTTTATCACACTGGATCCTTTCTCTCACACATTTAATAACGCCCCTTCAGTAAGTCTTACCGATGTAGGATACCACTATCCCTCCCTTCTCTTTTGGATTGGTCCAGAGCAAGGTATAATGCCTATTCTCTTAAATAAGCTGTACCATTTATCCTTTTAAATCTAATTCTGTATTTTCAAACTCCCCATTTTCCTGCTCCTTTGGAGCCATCTCTGTGTCCTCAACTTCTTCCTTTCTTCCTCTTGAACCTGCTCAAATCAGATACCCACCTCCAACACTGCCCTTATCAAGGATCCTAACTACTCCTACCTCGCTTTGTCCAGTGGCCAACTCTTATCTTCCTTTACCTTCATCCGTGTTGCGTACAACTGGCTTTCTTTTCTTGATGAGTTTCACTTGAAACACTCCAGGGACCCTTGCCCTCTTTCCCCCTACGTAGCAGGCTATTCCTTCTCAGATCCCCTCGCTGGATCCTTCCAGGAGCCCTGAAGTAGCTCAGGGCTCAGGTGGCCCATCACGTGGATCTCCAGGCAGGTGGTGCCCAACATTCTAGCCAGGTGTCTCCCATAAACTTGTCTTGGCTGTCTGCTGACGCAGCACAACTTCTTGAGTGTCTAACCAACATCTCAAGCTCAATATATCCCAAGTGGGACTGAGGCTCTCTACCCCAAACACCTGTTCTTAATTACTTTCCTCACCTCCACAGATAAGTACTTGATCCTTCTAGCCAATGAGGTGTCACCCTTATTCTTCCTACACAGATTTGCGAATCTTGGTGGTGGTACCTTAAGTATAGCTGGAATCCAGCCACTCACCACTTGCGATGCTCTCAGCCTGGTCTGAGCCACTGTCCTTTCTTGCCTGGGTCACTGAACAGGTCCTCTAGTGAGGTCCCTGGTTCCATCCTTGCCCTTCTACAAGTCTAGTCTTAATTCAGCGCCCAGAGTGGCACACCTGGATGAGGATACCCAATAATATCTCCTTGGATCCAAGCCTCCCACTGCTTTCATTTCCTCGGGTTGAAGCCCAGGTCACGTTTACCCACAGGGCCCACCTGGGCCAGCCCATATGCCTGGTTTCTCTTCCTCTTGCTCATTCTGCTCTGGGCACATTGGTGTCTTTGACCCTTGAACTTGCCACCTTGCACTTCCTATTCAATTTGTTCTTAACTTCAGCACTAACATGGATCGATTTTGGGCCTCCTTCGGGCCTCTGTTCACATTGCAACTTGGAAGACTTCTGATTCCTTAAAGCTGAAACAACCTGCTCCATCCCTTCCTTGCTTCCGCAGTACTGTTCCCATCGGATATGGTGTATTTTACTTATTTTCTTCACCTCCTGACACACGTGTGCCTATACACATGCACACACACCTTTACACTTGAAGGTAGGGCCCATCTTGCACACGGCCACACTCCTAGGACCTAGAACGGTGCCTGGTCCATAGCAAGCTTCAGGTCCTGAGCATCTGTGTGCCAGGTGCTGAGTGTTCCGCTGCAGCCAAGGCCCGTTCCTGTGGCCCAGACATTCCAGTTGAGAAATAGCATGTCAGGTGACACAAGCTGTGAATAAGAAAGCCATCCAGCGGTCCCTTATGTGGTGGGGAAGGGTAGAAAGTAAAATGTATAGACAATGGGTAGGGCCTGGTGATACTTGGGCGGAGCCTGAGTCTGTAACGTCTAAAGGGGCTTGCAACTGCTAGATGTTGAACCCTTCCTATGTCTTAGTGTGCCAGGAGCTTTCCAGGAGGCTAGGGAGGTGAGTCCTTCCAGGTGAGAACCACGTGGGTGGAGGCCATCAGGCACGAAGCGGCATCATGGCCACAGTGGACTCATTTGAGTTTCCAAGAGGTGAAGGAGACATGTAAGTACTTGGGCCGCTCCAGGCTTGTTCACGAGAAGCAGCCAGCTTCAGACACTTTTCCACGCTGAGCTGACAGCGTGTGCGGAAGGCTGGATGGCCCCCCTACCAGCCTGGGGCGGCCCTGGGGGATAAGCCAGCAACAGCTTCGAGGCCCCATCCAGCAGGCCCGGGGGGCTGAGAGCTTTTCCTCCTGTTGCAGCGGTCTCCCTGGACGTGGATGTCTACCGCAGTGGGCAAATTGAGATGACAAGTGACAAACAGGCTAAGGTGAGGCTGCCAAGGAAGGGTGCGGGCCTTGGGGCTGGGGGGCCCGAGCCAGCTCTGGCCAACAACCCCTCTCCTTGGCTTTCCTAGTGTCTGTCAGGTCAAAGAGCTGCAACACAAATCAGAGCTGATGGGGTCAATTTTTAGCTTTAAACCGCCCCCCCGCACAAAAACCCTAGCCCTGACTGGTGTGGCTCAGTGGGTTGGGCACCATCCCACAAACCCAGTTTACCAGCTTGATTCCCAGTCAGGGCTCATGCCTAGATTGTGGGCCAGCTTCCCCGTTGGGGGCATGGGAGAGGCAATTGATGTTTCTCTCACATATCAAATGTTTTCTTCCTCTCCTCTTTCTGAAAACAAAATCTTTAAAAAAAAACAAACAAACAAAACAAAACTAGAATGTCTGGCAATACTAGGTTCACGTCCTACCCAGTCGTGTGGTCAGCCAGAGCAGGGGATGGCTCGGCTGCCCCTTCAGATGCAACGTCTCTCCTCCATTTGGCCTCAGCCCCTACTTCCCTGATACCAGGTGTAGAAGACTGGTAGCCCATCCCTAGGTATTTTCCCCTCCTCTTGGCCCGCTCACCTGCTGTCACCTTCCTCTTCCTGAAAGGCACCTGAGTTGGCAGGTTCTGATGTAGAGGTTCCTATCACCCTGAAGAAAAGGTTTGGCTCTGCCCCGATCGGAGGAGCCTCTGGGAAGCAGAGCACTACCTGGCAGCTTCCAGAACGAACGCTCCTGTCCTCTTTGCAGAAAAACTGGGTCTGGGGCCCCAGTGGCTGGGGCGCCATCCTGCTGGTGAACTGCAGTCCTGCCGACATGGGCCAGGTCACAGACCAGACCAAGAAGGTGCTCTCTTCAGAGGGTAAGAAAGAACTGGCCACTGACCGGGGACTGTTGCCGCCTGTCCTCCCTGGGCTCCGCCGCACCCTGTGGCTTCTGTGCCCTACCTCTCAGCAAACACAGCCTCCAGGCTGATGTCCCCAGTCTGGGCCAATCCAGTCTCTTATCATGACCGCTGAAGCTTGGAAGTAGGAAGACAGACCAGGTGGCCCCATGGGAAGAACGAGGGATCTGGTGTCAGGTAACAAACTTACTTCCTGGCTATGAACTTGAGCGTGTTAGCTGAGCTTCCCTGCTCTTGTTTCGCCATCTGTAAAATGGACATGGGACAATTGGCCTTACAAGGTAGATGAGAAAACTAAATGAGGACACAAGGGGATATATGAGACTCTCCCTAAGAACCTTCTTGTAGTCTGGGGCAAGGCCTCAACTGTCTCAGGCAAAAATCTTGGATCTGGTCCTGACTTGTGGTTGGGACCTTGGTTCTAGGTCTCAGCAGCAGAACAGATGTCCCTGGTCACGCTGAGACTGGAGGGGAAACTCGCTGAACTGACCACGCCAGGCCTTGTTCTAGGTGCTTGTGAACTACCATAGGGGGTCAATGCCACCCTCACTCAAAAAGGGGCCCGAAGACTGCAAGTCGCCTGGGGCCATGTAGGGAGCAAAACATGAGGCAGACCTGGGCAGCCTGGGCCAGAGCAGGAGGCAGCAGGTCCAGACACAAGCCCCCACCCCTGGACCGCTGGCCTCCAGAAGCCCTGAACCTTGGCCTTGTCTCTTGCCTAGAAATAAAGAATCTGTCCCCGATGGCCCTGACCGTTGAGGGGCCCAGCCACATTTTGAGGCGCCACCGGCTGGTTCTCCACACCTCCAAGGGAGACGCGAAGAAGGCAAGAGTCTATCGGGCCCAAGGTGAGTGTCCCTGCGCCTGCTGCAGCTTTGTCTACACTCTCCCCTCTGGGCGAGCGGTGGCCACACCCACCCCAGCTGGGTCCCCTCAGGAACCCGCTGGGGACCTAGAGGTTCAGGCCAGGGTCTGTTGTGGCTGGACTTATATCCCTAGGATTGTCTGGCTGCCACCGTCACCAAAAACTGTCTGCCCTCGTGGGTGAGTCACTGTGCCTCCAGGCCACCCTCCCCAGGGGAGGCAGTGATGGTGCCTATCCTGCAAGACTTTCATGTCTGGGAGAGACATGCTCAGCAGCTAAAATAGCTCCTGCCTCATACGGATTAGGCAATGTCTCCTCCCAGTCACTCCTGCCAGAAGAAACCACCTTCATTTCTGAACCAGGTCCCCACTATGTTAAGGTTCCAGAGGACAGAGGCCAAGAAGCCAGCAGTAGTGATGCCAAGGTGTCCCGCTCAGGTACCACGCCACACACTGCCGCCTTCGGTCCTTACCAAACCTGAGGCAGGTAGCCTGCCCCTCTTCTATACAGGTTTAAGGGCTGTTGGGTTAGAAAGTGGACTTGTCCAACTCCAGCAACATACCATCGAACAAAAAAGACTCTTGACTTCCCTAAACAGGTTTAGTACCCGGGGCCTCTGCATTCCTAACACTGAGACTTAACTCTTTACTTCTGGAAGCATATGTCAGTGTGCTACCTTGTTTTAAAAGCAGGTCTAACTTCAGCTGAGCGTTTGGTGAAGCCTGTGGTTTCTAGCAGATGAGCTGTGTCCAGCGTGGGAGAGCACGCCTCTTGCTACTTTCTCTACAATGCCTAGTCTTCCACTCCATCTCTTCTGCAGATCAGAGGTCATGGCTGGACTTGGCAGTGACCTGGGACTGGGCAGAAAAGGCAGCCCAGGTTGTATGCGGCCATTCTATTTATGGGCTAGGAGGGAGCCTTAGAGACCTATGAATCAAGGCCTGGTTCAGGTCGTGAGGGCTGCTCTGGCCCCACGAGGCCCACCAAGTATAGACGACTGGGCTAAGCTGGGCGGTCCTTGGAGCCTGCTCAGGACGCCAAGTCCCGTGGCCTGCTGAAGATGCCCCACTTCATCACGTGTGTACCAAGCTACCCGCCTTTGTGTTTTGGCTTTTTTTTTTAATCCTCACCTGAGGACATGCTCATTGAGTTTTAGGAGAGGAAGGAAGAGAAAAACATCAACATGAGAGAGAAACGTTGATCAATTGCCTCTCATACGCACCTCAACTGGGGACTGACCCCACAACCTAGTCATGTGCCCTGACTGGAAATCTAACCCAGAACCTTTCAGTTTATGGGATGATGCTCCAACCAACTGAGCCACACTAGCCAGGGCTGTTTTCATTTTTTTTTTTTAACTTTAAAAAAAAATTGAATCTTAAGGCAGGGATACATAGCCCACTGTGTTTAAAGCCCTCCAATGGATTCTGAATAAACTAAAGTTTAAGAACCACTAGTTTATAAGATATAGTAAAGGAGGCTGAGAAGAAGCTTCCAGAGAAATAAGCAGGAGCATAAGGTTCTAGACAATGGAAAAAGGAAGCCTTCACAAAGGCAGTAGTGGTCAACCACAGTGCGTGCTGTTCACAGACGAATCAGACCAATGGTCAAGTCTTGGTTTTCAAAGTAAGTCATTAGTGAGTTTAAGAAGAACAGTGAGGATAAAAGCCAGGCTGAGGTGGGCAGGCACATGAATATAGACCATGGAAGGAGCTGTCTGTAGAGGGAAGTGTATGAAGGATAAGAACTTGAGAGGGTGGGTAAGCGGGGGGCAATATCTAAAGGTGGTGGGACACATCTGTGTTCAGATGGGACCCATCCAGGGGAGGTGGGGAAATTTTCCTCGGTGGGGAAAATTGTAGCAATGAGCTCACGTGCTCAGAAGAGTACTGGAAGTGGGAGTTAATGGGCACAAATGAAATAATGTTTTCAGATGGTATTGAGGGCCTGCTTTGAGGTTTGAGCACATCTTAAATGAGGTCTTTCAATGAGGTGGGTTTTCTGGCTGCTCAGATGCAGGGGAGTTTTACAGACTTGGTTTGATCACTGTTGATTTAAGAGTGTGGGGGCTGACGGGTGGGGTGTAGCACTGGATCTTGGAACATGAGGAGGATGAGAAAGATTGGGGAAGGCACTTTGGCATTAGAAGGGTTTGGGGCTGAGGCTGAAGAATCCCTGCAATGGGAGTATCGACGAGCTAAAAAGACAGGAGGATAATGTCGAGTCTGTTTCAGAGGTGATGGCTGGGTCAAGAGCTTTCCAATCGGCATCTCAGATGATGTAGAGCTCCAGCCCATTGAAATGAGATCAAAGAGGAGGGCAGACTGGGGAGGGCCTGGTCTGTGGCGTTCATAGTGATGACCACATAGTGGTGGAGACAAGCCAGTGCTAGAACAATCCACGGAGGTTGGTGAGGATGGCAGTCAGGTGCGACGAGAAAGGGTATGGTGACGACATCCTATGGCATGCCCTCCAAAGGAATGACGTGGTCAGAAGTGCCCATGAGGAACAGGCACCTGCCCCACCTCTAGGGCCCAGTGGGCGTCTGGAAGACAGAAAAGAGCACGGCTCAAATCCGTGTCTGCTCCGTGCCCTGCCGCTCCTTTTCTGGAAGGACAAGGCCATACCTGCTCACAGGTAGACCAGAAAGCCCAGGACCAAGCAGGGGCTGTGGGGGTGATGGTAGGAAAATTTCCAGGGGAGCAGAGCTAAGAACTGAGTGGAGCAGGACCAGCGCTGTGAGAAGGGCAGGAAGGGCCTTTTAGGTAAAGGTGACTCTATGCGGTGCCTGTGAGCCTTCACCCCATCCCTGGCACGCAGTCAGTCCACAGTGGAATGTTAGCTGTGCTTAAAAACAAGCAACTAAATCAGAGAGAAGACCCCAAAAGAGTCAAGTGCAAAAGAGCTGAGGTGGCTGGTAAGGAGCTTGTAGCAGGTGAACTTGGGACCCTTTCGCCCCCACCACTCCCCGGTGAATCGGCTTAGGGCGGAGCGGCTATGGCGAGCTCAGGGCCCTGGCATAGTTGAAGGTGCTGGGTCTGCGGCAGCTCTAGGGGGCTGAGGGGTAGTAACTCGTGATTCCATCTATGGAGTTGGGAGCCCATAGTGCACCAAGCGAACAGCTAGAACCTCTGCATTGAGTCAAAAGGGCTGTGTCTCTGAGCTGGGGATCTAGGGGGTCCTGATGCGAGGCTCACCTTGTCCAGTCTGACCTGCTCGAGGCCTGGCTAAGGGCCAATGGAGCATCCCCCGCGAGCATCCCCCGCCTATATCCAGCCAGCAGCAGCAGAATCAAGAGGACTGAGGCCAAGCCTGCAGCCAGCACCCCCAGAACCCTTAAGAAGGTTTTTCTGCTTAATTGCTAGTAGCTAGTGTCCCTCTGGAGCAACAAGCCCACCAGGCCATTGCAAAACTGCAGACCAGAGCAGAGGCCAGTGAACCAGAGCCTGTGCCCTGGGGACAGCTATGACCACAACAGCCACCTGCTGGCATGTTGAGGAAACTGGAGACCAAGGCAGCTGGCACCTGCTACGCATGATGCATGAGGTGCGGTGCCCAGACCCTTCAGGACCTTGAGGTCATGGTCAGCCTAAATTGGGATTTCCTAAAACTGGAATCCACCCAGAGGCTTTAAGCTGGAGCCACTGTCATCGGGGCCCTTGCTGCCACACTGGGGGTGGGTGAGAAGGATGGGGGACCTAGGGCAGGAAGGCCAGGTATAGGGAGAAGTGGTCCAGGTTGGGAACCTTGGTGGCCCGGGACCACGGTGATCTCCAGAGATGGAGAATGGATGAATGTTGTGGGGTCGTGTTAACCAGAGACAGCTACATGTAACTTCTGTTCTCCTCTGTGCATGGTTTTATATTTCATGATCTAAAGCTGAAACAAAGTGGGCTTAACCCATTTGATAGGTAGCTTCTCACCTTCTTCAGGAACCCTGAACGGAGCCTGTTCCACCCACTGGACAGTTGTCATTGATGCTTCCTAGTGCTTAGGCAGTGTCAGTCTTCTCAGATGAGGTGGCCAAGTCCACTTTTGCATGTTTCTCACCTTCAAGACTTAGGACATTCTGCCCAAAGTTGGTCAATGCGTAGACCACCTGATGTGAGACTTCACCCTAAACTGAATGCTTTGAAGGCAACCACTGTATGAGTCCCAAGTCCTGAACTGTAATAGACCTTTGAAGTATGTTGGTGAGTAACTGGTCCTTGTCCCTAAACACTAGAAACATAGGGACAGAAAAGCCAGCTGGGCTCACTGTCCTGGAACGCCAGCCTGGCTTCTGATGTGAGGAAGGAGTCAGTACCCTGGGCCATCAGGCATGGTGAGAGCTGGTCTGTCCGTCCTCTCCTTCCTAGAAGACAGCTCCAGCACCTTTGAGTTGGTACTGGGGCCAGGCCAGCACACATACACCTTCTTCCCCCTGGAGAGCCACTTGAAGGAGACCTTCTACGTGGAGGCTACAGAGTTCCCATCTGCCAGCTTCTCTGGTCTGATTTCCTACTCTCTCTCCCTGGTAGAGGAGTCTCAAGACCCGGTAAGCCCCCAAGGGGGCATGCCACTCTTGGAGCAGGGACTGCGTGGGAAGGGACACCCCTCTTGGCTGGGAGGAGGAGAGGGGGGAGCACAATGCTTGGTGGGTAGAGCTGGGGTTTCGTGCCACCTTTGGAGGAAAGAGCAGGAGAGGACAGGTGAGCACCTAAAGGTGAGCTGGACTGAGAAGCTGGATTCTGGGGAGGGACAGGGAAGAGAGATGTGGAACCAGGTCACCAACAGGACTATGTTTTCTATTGCAGTCAATTCCAGAGATCCTGGTGCACAAGGACACAGTGGTATTCCGAGTGGCCCCTTGCATTTTTACCCCAAGCACCCAGATGCCTCTAGAGGTCTATCTGTGCAGGTAAGGACCCCTCAGGCTGCCTGTGCTAGGCCACCTCCATACCTAGTACCTGCTTCCATCTGCGTGCAGCTGAGTAAACAGGACTAGACTTCTCACCAGGAAAGAGAGATCCTTCCACCTAAGCTGCTTCGTCCCCAAGAAGGTCATCAATACAAGTCTGAACACTTACAGCATGAGGGGACAGAGCTATGAATGTTAGGTCCCTCCCCTGGTCTTATGGGGAGACTGACAAGTAAACAGTGTGACTTCAGGTAATATCAAGTGCCATAAAACAAAAGGTGAAAGGAATGAATGGTGAGGACAAGAGTGTGTCCTGGGAGACAGCAAGAAGGCCTGTAGAGCTAGAACAAAGCAGGGTGATAGGGAGGGAGAAGGGGAGACAAGGATGAGGCCAAGCCCAGCCAGGGCCTCATGGGACCCCTGTGTGTCAGGGCATAGCCTTGGGGCTGTAACAGACCGCAATACAAGGGTTTAAAGTTAACCAGTGCTAAGGACCTGTTTAGGCTGACAACTTGGAGAAAAGTCCATGGTGACTGGTCTCTATTTTCAGCGACTTGAGTTCTAGGGAGGCTTAAGTGCAGAGCCAGGCCTACCCAGGCTCAGAGGTTTGCCTGGTAAATAAAGCTACGTCGACCCTGGACCAGGGGTACAATGATGACGGTGCCTCCTAGACTCAAAGCTGGGTAAGACGATGACAAAGCAGGGGGGTGGGAATGAGAGCAGATGACAGCCGGAGGTCCCTGTGAGGTCAAGCTGCTGGCGGAGTGACTAGATGGAGCAAGCAGGGAGGATGGAGTTGATGGAACCGGATGTCAGATGGAGACCTTGGCGGTGGTGTGACTGTTGGGGGAGGGGGCTGAGGTAGGGTAGGTAGTAAGATCTGTGAAGTCAAAGACGTAAAGAGGCCAGGATGACCCAGATGCAGCAACACATGCCAAAGAGGACCCCGCCCCCCGAGGCCTGTGGGGTATCGAAGGAAAAGCGCCTTTCCGTGGGAGGGCTGCTAGGGAGTAGGGTCCTCAGGAATGCCAGGTTTCAGAATGAGACCGCCAAGGGAAGGGCTCGAGGAATTTTGCTGAAAACACAAATGCAGACGCCAGATCTTGCTACTCCGTCTTTTGTGCCTGAAGACAAGTTGCTCACTCACAGGAGGCTTCTGGGGAAACCGGGGTCTTCTGGGAGCCTCCCACAGTGGTGGTACGCAGGCATGGCTTGACCCAGCTTAGCCACAGAAGGCCAAGACACCCTGGCACACATCCCCAAGACTGTTCTAGACCTTGGCAGGCTGATCAGCTCCCTGTAGGCTTGTGGACCCGAGAAAAAGCATTTTTGGTACAGTAGCATAGACTGGCAATGCAAGTGTTATAACCAGAATGGGATTAGAATATCTGTTTGGCACTTGCCAATAGTGTTGCCTTGCTTGTATTCAATTTACAAGGATCTGTTTATAGAATGGGTGATTCCCCCCACCCCCCTTAGAGGAAAGAAGAGGGAGGGAGAAAGGGAGAGAAACATCAATGTGTGGTTGTCTCTTGTGTGTTCCTTACTGGGGACCTGGCCCGCAACGCAGGCATGTGCCCTGACTGGGAATTGAACTGGTGACCCCTTGGTTTGCAGGCTGGTGCTCAATCCACTGAGCCACACCAGCCAGGGCTAAAGCAGGTGATCTTTTTAAACAGCCTCAAACATCACTGTTTATCTCCAAGGAACAAATGTACAGCGTGGACTGGTATGACAGGGCCAAGATCCCAGGGTGCTGTGCAATATGACACTGAGATCCCCGGCTTCAAACTCCGTCTCCTGCTACCCATACAAATATATCAGCCTTGTTGGCCATCACACAAGGGAACACCTAAAGTCTTAACTTCTTGGGGGGAAAATGCAGCCCCCTCGGAGAGGAGAGCCCACCCTCTGGGCAGACCAAGGCAGGAGAGCTTGGGGTGGCTCCCAAATTGCCTGGGGCAGGGGTAGAAGGTGCTTGTGGAAGGTGACTGCAGGATAAGGATAGAGCAGGTCCTAGGCCACCAGGGTGGGGACTGATACCAACAGTCCTTGACCAGACTCTGCCATGAACTAAGCTAAATGATGCTGGATAAGATATACTGACCCACCAGCTTGTGCTCCATGAGGTTGGGGTACAGCCACTCTGCTTATCTCATGGGTGGGGACATAATCTCTCTTGACCAGAAGGTGTCCCCTTCCCCTGGGAAGGCAACGTCGTGGCTGGGGCAGGGAGCCTCAAAGGCCTTTGCTGAGCTGACTTATCTCCCGTGTCAGAGAGCTGCAGGTCCAGGGCTTTGTGAACATGGTGATGGAGCTCAGCGAGAAGAGTAACAGCCAGGTGGCATCTGTCTACGAGGACCCCAACCGCCTGGGCAGGTGGCTCCAGGTAAGACTCCACCTGGGAGAACTGGCCAGTGGGGGAGGGGCAGGGGCGATTCCAATGGTAGCCCACACGACAAACTTCTCAGGCTTCCGTTCAACCTTCCCAGCAAAGCTAAGTCTAACCAGAGCCACGTTTGTTCTTAGAACGTCAGTGGAGACTCAGCTGAAACAACTTGCCCAAGTCACAGCTGCTAAGGAATAGAGAGTAGCGTCCAATTTCCTCCTCATTCAGGGCACGTTTGCGGCCAAGACCACAGAACACACACCCTTCACCCCCAGGCACCGGAAGGGTCTGGCGCCTTCAGCAGGAGGTTGTCAGAGCTGGCTCATTGCTCCAGGGTCCGGCCCAGTCCTGGCAGAGCAGGAACGCCTCCTGGTGCGCTGCTCTCCACAAATAGCTGAGAGATTATCACGTGCTGGCACCATTCTGACATTCAGATTAAAAAAAAAAAAAAAAGGGAGCGTACTGCCCTTGCTCAAGCACAGACAGAACTCTAAGTTCTGTGCAAGCAAGAAGCGATATGATGCAGTGAGGTACTAGATTAACCTGGGGGATTTGGGCGGTCAGGAGAATCTTCAAACTCAGGAAACAGAGTTGGCCATGCAAGGGTTGGAGCTGGGGGGCGGATAGATGCAGGGACCCTCGGGGCAGAGGAACAGCTGACTGAAGATCATAGTGGGGGCTGCACTTTGAGGGTGTAAGACACGAGGCTGGGCAGCCAGATCAGAGTAAAGAGGTCCGAGGCAGGTAAGTGCTGGGTCACGGATCAGGGACGTCTTAAGCCAAGCTGAGGGACAGAAACACGTCCAACAAGACGGGATGACATCGGACCGTCCGAGTCAGGGGTGTGAACATCCTGACTCAGGTCTGAAAAGACTCCTCCAGCTGAGAAAGAGAACAGGTCTTCGGAGGGGGCAAGGATGGGAAAGAAATCGGTGGAGGGCGTGGCAGTAACGTAGGAAGGAGATCACGGTGGCTCCCCCAAATGGCATCAGAGATGAGACCACTCCTACTGTAGTTTAGAAATAAAGCCAATGAGGCTTACTCATGGATTCAGGTGTAAGAGGTGAGAGAAGGAAGAATCTAAGTGACTTACAATTTAAACTTGATGAACGTGAGAATAGGTCAGGAAATGCCCCCAAGAAGGGGTCGTTCCTGAACTGAGTTCTGAGGGCTGAGCAAGAGTTGGAAGAACTCTTTTCCCCTCCACCCTCCACCCCTGCAACTGCTCTGGAGGTGGCCCGAGCACAGGGAGCACAGTGCCTGGCCAGCTGGACAGACACAGGCAGGAAAGCCACTGCGGGAAGAAGACATCACAGCTTGTTTTCCTGTCCCCTCCAGGATGAGATGGCCTTCTGCTACACCCAGGCCCCCCACAAGACTGTTTCCTTTGTCCTCGACACCCCTCGGGTCGTCAAGCTTGAAGATTTCCCCATGAAATACTCACTGGTGCGGGGCTCGACTTGCCTGATCTGAACTTGGTCCAGCCTCTCAGGCCTGGTGCCTGCCCAGAAGTGACGGGGCGCCAAGGGGGGATGGCCCAGGTGGCCCCTGGGGGCAGGGAGGGTGGGGGTCTACCTGAGAGTCTGGAGTAGGGGTAAGACTGGGGCTTAAAGCCCATCCCTCCTCCTAACACCCCAGCTCCGGCTGGGTCTCCTTCCAGAGCCCGGGGGTTGGCTACATGATCCAACGCACCAAGGACCACAGGGTGGCCAGCATGGATTCTATTGGGAACCTGATGGTGTCCCCACCTGTCAAGTTCAAAGGGAAAGAGTATCCTTTAGGCAGGATCCTCATTGGCAGCAGCTTTTATCCCAGGTGAGACAAGAGTGGTATCCCAGGTGGTAGCCAGATGTCTTAAAACTGAGGGACCCTGGTAGTTCACCTCGCTCTACCTGACTCTCATGTGACTCAACAGGTCATTTGCCTGCGCCATTCCTTAATGTCTCAAGGATATTTGAGTCTGCAATACACGTAGGAAACTAAAGGGAGAAAAAACTCCTTTGAGTGGCAACTCCAAGGTTTAAATTGAAACATGCCACGCTCGGCTGGCCTGCTGACCCAACAGGATGTCATTTCCACAAGGTGTGGGCTTCAGTGGCCTCCCTTAAAGCTAGACTTCTTGGTGGCCATTAATCTAAAGCCAGGCAATACTGGGTCCCAGGGTCCAGTCTTTTTTCTAGAATCTCTTGCCTCAGTGCTGCATTGGGCCGGAGAAGGGGTTTTTAAAAGACTTTTTTTGTTTTTAGAGGGAAGGGGAAGGGGGTGGGGGAGAAAGGGAGAAAAACATCAGTTGTCTCTCACATGCGCTCTGAACCAGGGACTTAACCTGCACCCCAGGCACGTGCCCTGACTGGGAATCAAACCAGTGATGTTTCATTTTATGGGACGATGCTTCAACCAACTGAGCCACACTGGTCAGGGCGAGCAAAGGATTCTTATTGACCATTCCACCTGCTATGGACTCAGTTGAGCCCAGTGGGTGGTTAGAGTAGCCAGTTACCTGAAGGTAGCCTGACACTCAGTAGTTCGCAGCCAACCTGGGCCATGCTGGCTCAAGGGCTGTTCCTCCTTCCCTTTAGCAAGGAGGGCCGGGACATGAGTCAGGACCTGCGTGACTTCCTCTACGCCCAGCAAGTGCAGGCTCCGGTGGAACTCTTCTCAGACTGGCTGATGACCGGCCACGTGGACGAGTTCATGTGCTTCATCCCCGCACATGACAAGAGTGAGGGTGAAAAGGTCTCTGTTACGGACTGCAGAGGGTGTTTCCAGTCTGCCTTTTTTTTCTTTTTTTTCTTTTTCTTTTTTTTTAAAGATATTTTTAGAGAGGGGAAGGGAGAGAGAAACATCAATGTGTGATTGCTTCTCACACATCCCCTACTGGGGACCTGGCCCACAGCCCAGGCATGTGCCCCAGACTGGGAATCAAACCAGCGACCCTTTGGTTCGCAGGCTGGCACTCAATCCACTGAGCCACACCAGCCAAGGCTCCCCACCTTCTTTTAGAGACCCTTGGAATCTCCAGAGGGGAAGCTAGCTTCTGACCCTCGTTGTCTGCCTCCCAGGGCTTCTGGCTGCTCTTGGCCAGTCCCAGCTCCTGCTACAGACTCTTCCAGGAGAAGCAGAAGGAGGGCTACGGAGACATGCCCCTGTTTGAAGAAGTAAGGGAGGACCAGCTCCTTTCCAATGGTAAGGGAACAACTCCGCAACGGCGGAGCCCCGTCCCTTCCTCCCCACGTGTCTGTTCTAGACAGTCATTTTACTCTTTCCTGGCAGAAAGGATCCTAGGGAGATATAAAAGCATAACATGTACCCTGTTAGAACATCTTATTCTAGTTCTGGGCTATTCTGGGGGTACCAGGACAGCACAGGCAGATCAGAAGTTCTGGGATGGCTGAGGCTGCCAGGCTGTGTGTGTAGGGGACTCAGCCAGCACGTGGATCGTTCCGTGGGGGGAGAGGGGTGAGGACCAGATGCCAGCATTAGTCTGTGGAACTACTTAGGGAACGTTGGGTTAAGTACCTGGGTATTAGGACTTCAGGGCTCTCCTGGTCACCCTTAAGGGGAGAACACAGTGGACCAGCAGAGGTTGTATAGCTGGTGCCATGGTAATTCTTCTAAACGTGTGGAAGCCCAGGAGGCAGGGTGGTGGGTATTGGAAAAGTTGTCTAGACCCTCGCTATTCAGTGTGTGGTCTGAGGGCCACCTGGGAGCCTGTTAGAAGTACAGAATTTCTAACTCTAAACCTCCTCAGCCAACTTCTGGGGTGGGGTCCAGAAACCTCATGGTCCTAGGAGCACTTATGGGAGGTGACATTTACTTAGCATGAACTGCGTATCACATATCACATGCTAAACTTGAGTACCTCAGCTGAATTTTTTCTAAAGCCAAGGCAACTGAGACGCAAAGTTAAATGGCTTGGTCAAGGTCACAGGTAGAAGGTAGCCTGGTTGAACAGGTCAGAGAATGCATGGAGGTGTACACGTAAGAGGTGAGTGGAGCTGACGTCATCTGTAAACTGTTCTAGGCTACCTTCCCCAAAGTAGGGACACTCTGTCCTACCAGGGACAGAGTGGCTGGTGGCAGGAAAACAGTCCTGCCTGGGCTTTCATGGCCCCTGTTCAGTCCCTAGGTAGGACATTTGACTGAGGTGGGTCCCTGGAGACTAACCAGGCCACCCACCCTAGTCACTGGTCCAAGAATACACCCAGTCGGCCGTGCCCAGGGCTCAAGTCTGGCCAGCCCTGGACAACACTGCCCGCTCCCTGGCCTACAGGCCTGCCTGCCTTCTCCTCCTCCCCACAGGGAGAGAGTCCAGCACCATCAATCAACTTCTGGCTGATGAAAACATGAGAAAGCAGAACGACTATGTGGAGGTAGGGGCTGAGGATGTGGGGGACCTTCTCCAGAAAGTGGGGGGAGGCAATGACAGTCTAGACAAGTTTCTAATTGAGCAACTTCTATAGCCCAAGCATCGTGCAAGATATTACTGTAATCCTTGAAATAACCCTGTGAAGTCAAACTCACCTTGTGTATGATAGGCAGGCTCAGAGTAGTCACTATCCTACAAGCCGATGAGTTGAGGTGCTGGGTTTGAACCCAGGGGACTGCCAATTTCATGCTTCACTGTTGCTCACGGCACCTGACCAGAAAGCAGTGCTGTGGCTCAGCAGCCTCCAGGCAGAGGACCCCCACCCCTAACTTGTCTAAGAAGCTAAGTACCAGACACTTAGGAACAGACCACGGCCTTTTCGATGCTTGGGTCCATCAGCTCAGGGTTTAGAATCAGCCAGCACCTCAGATCTCTGCAAATGTGGATCAGCGGCTGTGAGAAGCGCAGGAGCTCCCCGAAGACATTACCTGACTTCTGGAAGGGAAGCCAGGGCCTGGAGAAGGCCAGAGCTGCCTGGGGTCACGTGGGCAGCACAAAATTGCTTTGCCTGCTGGGTCTTGATGGCTCCTGCCCATGGTGCATTCAGTGCCACAAGGCACTGGTGCCCTAACCTTTGCCAAAACAGGGAAGGTCTCCGGACACAGCAGGATGGGTACCGGCCAGCCCTAGGCAGTATCTTGGGTTGTGGTCATGTCCTGTGTCAAACAATGGAAATGCTCGGGTGTTGGGCATTACCTGGTCTGAGCTAGGAAGTGCCCAAGTGGGGACCACTGCTCCTGTCCCTTCCCGGGGAGGGAAGCAGCGTGCCTTTCTGAGATTTATTCATGTCCTTTCCCTGCACCCTGTCCCCTGTCCTTGCCCAGGTCCCTCACCCTGGCCAGGATTAAGGGCCAAAGGGGACCCAAGCTACAGAAGGATGAGGACTAGTAGCTGCCCCAGCACTGACTGGCTGTGAGATCCTGGCCTCTCGAGACCAGGCCTTTACTCTGAGCCCCCACTTCCTCTCAGAAAAGGGAGCCGTGCCCACCCTTGTCAGGGCTGGCGGGCATGTGAGGCTCCGCCCCACAGGGAGCCATCAACACCCGGGAGCTGCTCCAGGCCGTCGCCCGCCTGCCGTGAACTCACAACTCTCCTGGCCCATCTGCCCCACAGAAGTGCATTAACCTGAATCGGGACATCCTGAAGCGGGAGCTGGGCCTGCTGGACAGGGACATCATTGACATCCCCCAGCTCTTCTGCTTGGAGCAGCTGACGAACGTCCCCTCCAGCCAGCAGACCGAGAGCCTCTACGCCAGGCCCTACTTCCCCAACCTGGTGAGAGGCACAGGGGTGGGCTGGCTGGCCTCTGGGTGGAGCTGGGGAGCTGTTCAGCCAACTGGCTGGTCCCCTGACGTACACGGTGCTGGACTGTGGGGTGGGGGGTTCAGAGTGGGTAGTGGCACCTGAGAAGGAAGTAAGGTAGAGGGGAGGGCCCCTTCCCCACGGGGCAGTGCATGGGGCCTGGGCTGAGTGACTTGCCAAACAGTGACCATGGGCTGGGCCCTGGGCTGATCCCCAACCTTGGGGCAGGGGTAGTCACTACGCAGCCCAGTTCACAGATCGGGGTGCAGTGCTACCACCCGAGTTGAGGGGACCGAGCAACCTGCTGGCTGAGACCATGGGCGAGCTCCCCAGGTCAGGGTCTTCCTTCCACGTAGCCTGGGACCAGGGCAGCATCCAGAACAGGGAAGTGCTCACGCTCCCAGCAGCAGTTTCTGTGCAGACTAGGGGAAAAGGCGGGCTGTGTGCCTGTATGTGAGACCCTGCTGTGCCAAGCCTACTCCTCCCCTGGCCTATGTCGGACCTTTTACTCACACAACTGTGACCCACCATGCAGGCGCTTAGCATGCTTTCTGACGTTTGAGCTCGTCAATTCCTCGAACACCTGCAGGCCTCTTCCCTGAGGCCCAGGGACACGGGCCCTGCGCTCATCAACCACACGGGGGGTACCTGCCAAGTCTACCAGTCCAACGTGGCCCTCTGGGCACGAAACAGAAGCCCATCGTAGGCTCTGGGAATAGGTGGGGAGCTGTGGTGGACATTGCTTTAAAGAAGAGATGCTAGAGTTGAGATGTTTAAAAAAAGTCAACTGACAAAGCTAGGGGCGGGGGAACATTCTAGCAGAGGTAGAACAGGTCATGAAGCAAACAGGACTTAAGACCAGAGTAAGAGATGCACTAGAGGAAGAAACCAGAGAAGCTGGCAAAGCCAGACGTTGGCCAGGCAGGATTTTAGTTTTCCTATTGAGAATCATGGGGGTGAGGCTATGGGGGGCTTAAGCAGGAGGGACTTGGATTTGCCAAGATCGACTAGTGATGTCTGCATGAACACAGAGCTGGAGGAGTGCTGGCGTATGTGCGTGCTATTCTGGTCTAGTCCAACCACAGGCAGCTGGGTTTTCCTTTGCATCAAACCCAATGATACTTCTAACGGTAGGACAGGTGGGCAGGGGTTTTCTTCCGTGGCTCCACCCTATCCAGGCCTTGCCCATCCTGTCTCTCGGCAGCTGCGGGTGATGGTGATGGGCAAGAACCTGGGCATCCCCAAGCCTTTTGGGCCCCAGATCAAGGGTGCCTGCTGCCTGGAAGAAAAGATCTGCCAGTTGCTGGAGCCTCTGGGCTTCCAATGCACTTTCATTAATGATTTTGACTGCTACCTGACTGAGATCGGAGACTTCTGCGCCTGTGCCAACGTCCGTCGGGTGCCCTTTGCCTTCAAATGGTGGAGGGTGGTGCCTTAGATCCAGGCCCAGAACAAATGGCCACTGTCAACCATGCCCTTGCCCTGCTGGGGGCAGGAGGCGGCTGGAGAGTTGAGACACTACACCCCTTCCTTACCCTGTACCCATCCCTCAGAATCCAGTGGGGGTGGCAAAGCTGCCAGCCTGAACCCCTGGATAAAGATGGAAGCTGCCTTCAGCTGAGACGTGGTTACTAACTACCCATTAAAGCTCTGGTTATTCTGAATGCATTTTGGCAGTGGCCGCCTTGTCTGGGGGACGTTAACAGCCAAGGATGGAGAGCTGAGCAGGTGGGATACCTGTGGTCAAGCTGTCCCACTTGTGGGGGCAGAGACCAGGCTAACAAATTACTGTCTACCTCTCCCTTCATGGCTGTCTGGAGTGAGAAGTGGTAGGAATCAGATTGTCTGAATTCCTCTAGCAGGGAAGAAAAAGCACCCAAGACAGGCCAGGTCTCGCAGCTTGAGCCAAGTGGGACAGGCCAGGCTGGGGGAAGGCTGCTGCTTGGGCCTGCTGGAGCTGCCGGAGGCCTGGCCAGGGGAAGGTGGTGCCCCTCAGGCCTCATGAGCAGCTGAGGCACAAGGTAGAGCAGGGGCCGGCCTGGGTCAACTCCCAGGTTTCCAGGAGGAGAAAGGTCCACCCTAGGATCTAAAGCTGTCTACTCCCAGCTGCCTGCCCACCCCTGTGTTAATGGCACAAAAATGCCGTTACAGCAGATGACTCTAGCTATTGCTGCCCTGCCCCTCAGATGGGAAGCTCCAAGCAGCCGAGGTGCTTGGAATGAAGGCAATGCCTACGGGGAGGGGTGGGCCTGGTGACAGCGAGAGCCAGTATCCAGGGCTCCACAAAGGAGTGAACAGCGTTGCAATGGTGGTGGTTGCAGGGGTCTCGGTGCGTGGTGGAGGGGAGCTCAGCCACACAGACCCAGAGCAGCATCTTGGGCAGAACAAATGCCAGGGCCCCTGAACACAGAGCTGGCCCCTTGGTGCTCCCTGGCGGGCAGCTCACCACGCTGCAGGTAAGGGGCAGGTGCGGGCTGAAGGGCACATTTGTGACATGCTCCAATGACCATAAAGCTCCTTTCTGAAGAGCAGACGGGAGGGTAGGAATTGACACTAGATGTTTCTGGACATACAAAACACCCCTGTTCTGGTGCGTTCTGTTCCCCATCTCATCCTCTCCAAGCCCCAGTGTGGTGTATACAAAGGTCCCCTTGGGCAAGGGAGGTGCTGACCCTTCCCAACCCCGAGAGAGTTTAGGCCTAGAAGCTAAAAGGACCCGTTGCCCTGGGGCCCTCCTGCAACAGGGCCCTGGTGGGTGCTCCCGCCTGGGCACAAGCCGGGGGTGCACGTGCAGGGAGCTGAGGAAAACCGGAGCTGTGTTCCTTTCACGTCACCGAAAAAGAAGTGCCAAAGCCAAAACAGAGTAAACAATGATGTTGTTTATTTAAAATGTTTACTCCAAGAAATATATATAAAAAAAGACAATTACAGCACTAAACCAGGCACCTTCGACCAAATCACAACCTCTTAGATTCCCCTTCACTCTAAGCCTCTCCCAAATTCCTCCTGAGCTGGAAGACACAGCCAACGCCACGCCACTCTCAGCCCTGGCCACTCTGTCCCTTTCTCTTGGAGTGCAGGACCACCCCCCACCCCCGAACTCCTTGTTCTACAGGAGTTCCCCCGGTAGGAAGTTCATTTTAAAACTCTAATCCAAAAGGAGTGATTGTGGGAGAGAGAGGGCAGCTTCACTTGGAAGGCACGGCCCTTTCCTGCTCTGGTCCCTGGCAAGGGGTTCTAGCATCGGCCGGCAGCGGGTTGCGGATCATTAGTCCACTGGAAGACCAAAGCTCTGCTTGGCCAAGGGCGGCTCCTGCAACAGCAGCGCCCAGGCTACTGCCCCCGCCGCTCGCTCAGCGACTGCACCACCCAAGGAGGCCATGCGGGGGCAAGGAGCACAGGCATCCAACCCCATTCCAGGAAAGAGACTTGTCCGGGGAAATGGGTTCCACGGAGGGAAGCTTGAGTTAGAGATGGTGGCTTAGGGGTGATTTGGACAAATCAGGTTAGTGTAGCAGAAGCTCTCAAGTGGCAGAAGCTTCTCCCCTGGACTATTGACCGAACACAGGACAGCAGAGATGAGCATGAAGTCAGGCTAAATCTTAGCTACAGGCCGGTCCCCTCGCATGAGAGGCCTTGGGACCGGCCAGAGCAGAGGCTGCTACATGCCCTGCAAAGGCAGGTCACTGTGAGGAGGAATGGAGGACGAGTAGGAAAAAAAGCAACAACTAGATCATTTTTGGCATTTTAACATCAAGACAGTTGACAAGTGGTAACAACAGCAAAGCAAAAAAAAATGAATAAAAAAGACCAATATTTAACTTTCCCATCCACCCAAGTCTCACACTGAAGTTCTACCCCCATCTCCCCAGAAGCACCACTGAACTAAAAAATCTATTTTAAAGCACCCAAACCAGTCCAGACCATCTCGAAACCAAGAGTCCCAGCCAGAGCTGTCGCCCCTCTTGGGTCCAAGTGAGAGGAGGGTTCCGGGAAAGGCACCTCGTAACTCACGCAGAGCAGCGCAACGCTGGGGACGAGCTCGGGCAGAGGGCACTTGGGGAGGCGGGTGGCAGTCATAGCATCTGCACTGACACGTGGGGAAGGGGGACTTCTTCATAATCCCATCTATTTGGTACCACAGCCAAGCAAATGTGACTACAGAGCTGGGTTTGCAGAACTGGAACCCGAGTCTCAGAAACAGACCGGGCTGTTCCAGCTCTATCCAGTGGCGGGGGTGGGGGTAATAAAAACAGAAGCACAAGGCGATAAAGGCTGGTACGTAAGGGCTGGTCCTTCTTTGCAAGGACTCCAGAATGCACTTTTTACTGCTGGCTGATCAATCTCTAACGGCGAGTGCTGGCGAGGTGGCCCCGGCTCCTCACAGGAACCTTAAAGCTGGTTTTTGAACCAGATACAATGTCCCACGACTGCGCCCCCTCCCCCCAAAGCCCCCACTGGTTCCATGATCACCTGATTTTAACTTGGACTTCATTTACAGATAAAGTAGATATAAATGGCTAAACACATACCCTAGACCCCCACGGGGGAGGGGGGGCGGGGGAAACGGCAGATTCTATTATTGTTGCAGCCAAAAGGCGGTGGGCGGGGCTTACAAGCAGCCAAGGGGAGAACAGAACCAAGGCCGGCCTCAGCCGGTCGGTCTACAGGAAAAAGCGGGAAGGGAGTGACCCAGATGCTTCCAAAGCACGCGGGCATGATTTTGGATAGAGATGGACCACCAGGGACCCTCTTTGCCAAAAATGCTGCCAGTTCCCATACGGGACCTTTTTTTTTTCTCTGAGTATTTGGTGACTCCCGTCCCAGGTAGCACCCACTCGGATCACAATGCTCATTACAATCGGAAAGGAGAGTTTTGAGAAGTATATTTAGGAAGCGCAGGGAGAGAAAACTTAAAAAAAAAAAAAAAAACCAACCTAGATTGCTCAAAGTTTCTGCCTCTTGTAGGAATGGTAAGTCAACTATGAGCAAATATTTTAATTAAACATTGAGAGAAAAAACACTTTGGAAAGCATACAGAAAAGGTAGTTGACGTTGAATCACTTATAAAACGGAACCTCAGGGAGTCTAACAAAAATGCACCTTCAGTCAACTTTTGCTTGTTTCAATTCCTCGTTTGACTTCCCGTCCCAGTGCACGTGGAAATGACAGCTGCCGCGAGGTGTGGAGTTGGAGACTCCGGGACAATCAGAGGGTGCGGGGGTTATACTCTGGCAGTTTCTTGATCTTTTCCTTCTCGGTCTCACTTTCGTCTCTCGCTATCACCAAAGAGTGCGAGTAGCCCATGGCAACCTGGAGGGGCAAATCAGTGTTGGGTGCGACACTCTGGCACACAGGCGTGTCAGAGAGTTTGGAGCAGACGACAGGACACTAGCCAGGCTGTGTGGGCAAACGGGGTCACTATAGAGAAAAATGGAAGACTCCTGAAAAGGGCATAAAAACCCTTTACTGAAGGCCACTAGTCTCAACATGCCTGTCACCAGCGCCCTGCCACCCATAGCCTTCCAGCTGCCTCGGGGAGGAAATGGAGGGAGGCCCCCCAGCAAGGCTTCGACACCAACTGTCAGCAGGGACTAGCGGGGATGCGCAAATCACGCTGTCTCTTCCACCTCTCTGGACCACAACCCTGCCTTGTGCGAGGGCACACACGCCATCTGCGTCTCGGCAGACAGAGCTGGCAGCCTGGTAGGCCTAACGGCAGAGGAGGGGCTCACCCCACCGCCTGCCCCCGGCCTAAATGCATGCAGTCTCCGGGGCAGCTACAAGGCAGATGTGAGAGATGGAGTCACCCTGGAGCCAATCTGCTTGGTGGCTGAACTGGGGCCAGCATCATCCAGGGAGGGAAGGGTGATGGGGCCGGGCCAGCGTGTCTGCGCATCCTGCTGATGGTTGCTGCGCATCGCAAAACGAGCACAGGCACAGGGACGACCAGCACGAACCGGCACGCTGGCGCTCTGCGGCCAGCGCCTTGTGTTTGTCCGCAGCAGCGCAGAGCTCCCTGCTCACCTGCTCTGTGAAAATGCCATCCAGCGTCTTCACCTCTTGGGCTGCAGTGGAAGACTTGGGCTTGTGGTCCCCGTAGCCCTGGCAAAGTAAGCAGAGGAGATGGATCTGGGGGTCGCTGTGGCACGAGCCAACATGGGAACGAAGGCCACCCACTAACTGGCCAGAGCCGGGCGCCTCTCTGTGACCGAGCCCTGCTGCTCTCGGACATGAGGGGCCAGGCTGAGTGAGCAATATTCACCCACAAAATCTGCTGCTAACAAGTGACTAGTTCTTTAACTTGAGGAGGACAGATGCTCACCTGTAACCTCCGGGAATTTCTGTGATAACAGGTACCTCTGAGGGGCATCTCACTGGTGAGAAAACACCATCGCGAACCCAGAAATGGCAACTACCACCCTTCAAGGCTACAAG